TCACCACACTCGACATTATACGTTTTTGCAGAGGTGCTCAGAATACAACAGTCTAGAAGCATAACATATAAAAAGATACTCAACATATCCCTAAATGCAATATATATATATATATATATATATATATATATATATATATATATATATACACAAGGACAGTGTTGGAGTGAATGATGGTGAATGTTTTTCTTTTTCGGGCCACCCTGCCTTGGTGGGAACCGGCCAGTGTGATAATAATAATAAAAAAATACATTTAAACTATTTCAGTGTTTTTGTTTGTATTAGAGCATAAATTAACTAGAGTATGTCATTGCGTAACCACAAATGGCAATTGTGGTGCTGTTAGTTTACTCATCAAGTTTATAATCATGGGAAGTGCTAAACCTGTTGATAGTCATTACAGTGCAGGTAGACTAAGAGGCAGTCAGTTCCCTACAAGGAAAGGGAGGATAGGTCCATTTGGATCATGAGTCTCTCCCTGGTATCCAGACCCTTTCCCTGAGGAGTCTAGTGTCAAAAGTCAGTGCTTGTAATAAAGACTGTAATAGTCTAGTACTACTTGTCCCGTAAAATAACAAATTGTGTTTAGCCACGAAAGGTATCATGAAGTCTATTTTTATTCATTTTAATCATGGAAAGCTCTAGACTGTAGGAGTCATTTAATGTGGAAATGGGAGGCAGTCAAGCCCAGCCCGAGGGAGGGAGGGAGATAGTCTGTATTAAAAGTGCAGGCCTTAACAGACGATACATGTACAGGAACATGGCATGTCATTTATTTTTCCTTATTACTATACAGTTTATTTTGCCATTAAATTTTTATACATGATTATTCAGTTTCTCAATTTTTTCTAATTAACTTTTCATTTTCATTAATTAGCTTCTACTGTGGCAGGGGCACTGTGCTTATCTGGTAATTTCTGACTCCTATCAATATTTGCTTTGCTGTAAGTGAAACTTGTGCATTGATGCTAGGATTGATTGTGTTTTTCCCCGGTAAGGTTCATTTTCCATACCAACTTAAGCATTAGTTTTGTTTTAGCATTTTGTGAATACTATAATAGTTATTAGTTTTTTTACTAGAGAGGTAAATGCTATTTTCCCCCAAACTTTAAAAAAATTTTGTTTTACTTTTTATAATGTGTGTGCACAAGAATCAGGGGGGAAAAAAAGGAAGGGAAATTTCTCGTGATGTCTACAGAGGGGGGCCTTTAGGAGTTGAAAAATTGTGCCCCAAAATTTGAATGTATCAAACTATCACTGAGATTTCCATTCCTTTCTCATTGCATGCTTTTCCCCTAAAGAAAATTTTGAAATTTTTTAAAACCCCAAAAGACCAAAGGGAACCTCATTCCCCCCCCTTTCCCTTTTTTTTTTTCCCTTTAATCACTTTTTTGCTTTTATTTAAAGGAAACATTTTTCTTTCACCCCCCGGGGCCAACCCCAAACCAAAGGGGGGGGTTTGGCCCAAAAGGGAAAAAAAAACGAAAGTTTCCCCCTTTTACATTTTGTAAAAAAATCCCGGGAAAAGGGGGGTTTGCAAAGCCCCCGCTCCTGGCTTTTTTAGTCGCCCTTTACAACACGCATGGCTTACGGGGGAAAGGGAATTCTGTTCCACTTCCCCAGGGAAAGAGTTAGAATCCCTTTTAAAAAATTAATATTCTACTTTGCCCTTAAAATTTTTAAAAACCTTTTTCCCTATTTCCTCAGGTTTTAAATTTTCCCTTTTCGCATACATATTTCCCAAAAACCCTTCATTTCTTTGTTTTTTATTTCTTAGTGCAAGCAGGTGGGGACTTCCCCAATTTGTGTGAATTTGAATATAAAAACATTTGATATTTAGAAATTGAATTCATTAGTGAAAAATTAGGGGTTTGGCTGGTAAAAAAATGTCACTGCTCGAAAAAGAGGAAGCTTCTTGCCCAGTATTTAGTAATGGATATGTTACAGTATTTTGGGGCCCCTTTTAAAAGCATACCAAAGTGTATTTTTTATCTTTAATATTTTTGGAAAATTCCCAATTATTAGAAAAGGAAACCAGTAAACCCCCCCATAAAGGGGACTTCAGAAAGCAGAAAAAAACCCCCCACGGGATTTTAAATTTTGGAACAGGGGGACGTGGCCCTTTTGGGGTTACAGAATTATCCATTATTGTTACACTCATGACCCAAAACAATTTTCTCTATCCCCCACATTTCCCAATTAACACAACCAGCTTCCCCCCAAAAAAAATCCGTTTTGTTACAGAGGGTTTACTTTTTGTCCCATTTTTCAATACAGTATCTTAAAAAAATGAATTATTATTTTTGTATAAAATGAATTTTTTTAACATTATTTAATAATAGCCTACAGTGATTCCATAAAAATTTTATTCACATAAATTTTAAGAAATCTGGAAGTTTTCTTGAAATGGGTTTAATTTTCCTATTGTATTTTTAAAAGATATATGTATTTTATCAATAATTTTTAACAAACTCCATGTAACCCTCCCCAAATTATACCTTTCCCTTTTAACTTTTAAAAGTCAACATTCTAGCAGGGTTTAAAACGTTTACTTCCAATAAAAAATATTAAAATTTTGCTCATTGACTGGGATATTTTGCCCAGACTTTTCAGGGAATTTCTGCTTGGATGAAGGGGGGAGATAAATTCCCCTTTGATGCTTAAGGGATATGGGATTTACCTTATATTAAGATGGTTTTAAAATATGGACTCAGATTTTTTAAAAAATTTAAAATTTTTTCAAGGGCCACATATTTATTTTTTAAATTTTTTTTATTAAACCCAATAGACCATTAAGTGTTATTGGCACTTTCTCCTCCTTTTGGTTTTAATCATTACCTCTCATTTCTTAGATGCTGTATTCACCTCTCAAATTTAGTACCCTAAAGGATAAGTAAAATTTTTATTAATTATTAAAAATTGCATTGGGGTGTTTAAGGGGCATGTGGGCAATTTTTTCCCCCGCGCGCTAACCCAAAAAAAGAAAAATATGGAAATGAGTTTTTATCCGAAAAAAAAGTTACTCCTTTGGGAAAAAACCCCACAATGGTACAAGAATCAATGTTCTAAGACGTTTCTACAAGAAATTATAGTCATTTATATCAGGTATGGTAACGGCGATGTAGGTAGCGCGTCTGTTCTCAACCCATGTATTTTTTGGAATTTTTTCCTTGTTTTTTATTGCTTTTTCTTTGCATTATTCTTTCTAATATAATAATTGATTATTTGGCATCATATAAGAGTAAGTGGAGCTTATCAATAGACGTCTAGCCTATCAGGAAGCACCTGGGTACACTCGGCAGTACTCCCCCTCCAGATGGTGCCAGGTGAAATCACTTCATTATTACGTTTATATCAGCTTATATATCAACTATACGGCTTATTTATCTATCAGAATTGATCTAATATGATATGATATACTGAATAAAATAGGCCATAATATGGCGAGAGTCCACCAGCAGTATTTCGATGTAAGAGTTACTCCTGGTTTCCATGTTGTATTGTTTGGTCTGTGAGTGATAGAAAATGGTATTTTGAAGAGGATAACTGCACTAGAACATCAATTTACTTAGAAAACCACTGAAACAAACGCGATTTTCACGAAAAAACAAAATTTTGGAGACGGCGGGCCGGCCGGCGTTCCAGGCCTATATCTCGGAAGTAACTTTTTCACTTATTTCGCTAAATTACACCATTATTAATGATTGTATTGAAATGATTTTCACTGACAATATAAAACAGTGTGTTTGACTATTTGCGGCTTCTTTTTTTTGGAATATATCAAATATTTTTGATTTTGTGGGAGGTAAAAGGCAGATATTTTGGTGAATGCCAAAAAGTCTATCAAATGTATTTTTTTTTTTCCATGATAATAAGATATATTAGATGAAACATGGTCCTCCAAAAGTCGTGTCAGATGTATTCTAACGGTTGGGATTGTCGGAAGTGCCACTCGAAGTGCCATTTTGTCATACCTTGCTGCCATATATGAAAAGTCATTAAATATTTTTTGTCTGTTGTTTTTTGGCCAATCATACTGAAACTTTCTCACATTCTTCTACATATGAACCTCTAAATGTACACCAAAAATAAAAAAAATTGGTTGAAAAATAAAAAAGTAGGCCGCAATTTGGTCGAACTACCCTTAAAGTGTACATTTTAGGGAACTAGGTGAGAAATATGGATTGCAAGTATTGTACTGTCAAAATATGACTTGAAGATATATTGTATGACAGATTTTGAGCCCCTTATAACAAAGCCTCTGTGTTACAAGGTTGTATCATAATCAGACAGAAAAGTCAAACCCATAGGGATTATGTAGCACCTTGGGAATGGGAAACATTTAAGTTCAATCCAAGGAAAGGGAGGATAATCCAATTTCTTGGACAATCATCGTGAAGTAGGTATTCTCAAAGTTTCGTAGAAGTTGTGGGTTGTACCAATTTGGGGATACCCTGGGAGGGGTATCCTGGTCTCGGCAGTCGTGACTGTCCACCACAGATGCTATGACTTGTCACTGTTCTCCCCTATTAGTCTTAAAGCAAGGGTTTCCTGTACTTACTGATTAATCAAAACTAAGCGCTAAACCCACAAGCACTGAGTCTGTTAGTACAAGTTTAAGATTCACCATTTATCTTGCATGCTTATGAGGCAAAGAAAAGATCAACAATCCTGGTGGAGTGAAATTAGTGGGCAAGTACCTGACCTGGCCCCTGTCTTTGATGGCATGGATAAATAAAACTTGATTAATATTTGTACAGGCAGTCCCAGTTTATACCTAGCTTTTAGCAAGTGGTGAATATATTTATTATAGGTAGCCTGAATAAATGAAGAATGGGTATAATTGAAAACTGCTGCATTAGCAAAATGCTGTAAAGCATGGCCCTCATGTTTTAGGTTAAAAAAAAAAATCAATCATAACTTAAGAATGGGTAATTAAAAAAATTTTGACTAAGATGTTTTACAGACCGAAATCTCTGGCTAGGACAAAAAAAAAAATGTTAATGTTATATTTTTTAATGACACTATTGTTCCATGGTAAACTGAAAACAAAACTACATGCTAAATGATTCCTGGTAAATAAAATAATATAAAATAATTCGTATCTACTTAAAGTATATAGTTTTTTTGTAGTTGGAATACAAGAAAACATCAATTTTTTAAATCCTCTTTGAACCTTGAATTCTCATATCCATTTCCAAGATGATGCTATTATGTTCCAACACGACAGCCAATTAACCAACAGCCGAAGCAATAACTTCAGACACTTCTGGATCATCTGAGCGAACTGTGAGCTGCATTGTGACACCATCTGCGAGTGCCAGTTTAGCTCTTACTAGTACTTCATGCCCACCTCTGTAAGTGCCTGTGGAAAAAAAAAATTGATAAATTACTAATTCTAAATATGCATTATCATTAATGCCACATCTGGCTTAAAGCCACTAAATGCAGGGTCATCACTTTCCTCCTAAATGGAGTGTTAATACAATATGGCATTAGTGAATCCCTGGAGTTTATCATGGTGTTTGGTCTAGCTAGCACTCAACTGAACTGGTGGTTCCAGATTTTTTTAATACTGTGCACACTGTGTTAAGACCCATTCTATACTGCCCAGGCCTCTGGTGCCAAATTTGAAGGCAGGAAAAATAAAATGCTGATCTACATTTGAAGTGCTAGCAAGTAAGAACACAGATCAACGTTTGGACAGTTATAGGGTTGAGGAAACATCCTAGAAAAAACAATGCATAAAATTACAATTAAATACTGTATACGAGTATAATAACCAAACTTCTTGAAAATACAGTTATCCACAGTGGTTGTCTCCCTGAAAACTGCTTATTAAACATGGAACAAATATTCTTAGCATATTAATATTAAGAAAAATAAAGTTGAGAAGTTAAATGTAAATTTTGCTACAATATGTTATTTATAAGACATGCTCAATTACAGGTGATCTTACCTGCTAGATACAAAGTATGTGCACTCTTCCCTTCAGGAACACGATCTGAACGATCACAAGGATGCATGCCTAGGAACTGAGTTATTTGGGTTATTGCTTCCTCTAAAGTGGTCATGGCTGACAGTGCAAAAGTGTCTTCCAGTTCATTAGTAGCTCCCAATTCATCCCAACCAGCAGCAAAATTGCTTCGTGCAGCTCGCTGAACATGATCTGCTACAGTAATTTCAACATCCTCAAGCTGGGTTTTGGAAAAAAAATTATAATTAAAATTTAAATAATGAACTATTATTTGTTATAACACAATATTGCAATGACATAACTACATAGGTTTGGTGTTTCCAAATATATGGAAGGCTGTGGTGCCTGCAATATCACCAGCTTCATAAAATCCTAACACTGAGCTGACCAACTCAACTAATTGTCACTATGTACAACATGCCAACATTTATAGCACTGCTCCACATCCAAATCATACCACAGGCAAATCTTATGATTTGTGACATTTCCCAAAAATATCAAATGACAGTTTAAATACATGACATGTAGTCTCAAGCTAGGCAAACCATCAACCAAAAGATTAAACAAAAAAAATGCAGCCATCTTGCAAACACACACACACACACACACACACACACACACACAACACACACACACACACGCACACACATGCACACACACGCACACACATGCACGCACACACACACGCGTGCACACACGCACGCACACACGCACACACACACACACACATGCACACACACACATGCACACACACACACACAGGGCAATCATAGTATACCTACAAACATAAATGCTCTATAAAGTATCATATTACAACAGAAATCCTATATAACTTAGCATTATCTGAATCTACTTGATAAAAGCAATTATGGGTTATTAGATATTTATGTTGCTGAATATGACTTGGGTTGGTAACATAAAATATAAGCAGAACTGACCTGACTACAAGAGAGATTGAAAAACCTCTCTTGGGAGGTTTACTGTACATTACCTCCTCCAATATGGTATCCAGTTTTTCATGGCCTAAATTTTTTTATTATTCTTTACCACTTTGCTCTTTTCTGTGATTGCTCTTTAATTTCTTTTGTGTGTATACTCTCCAAAACTCATTTACCAACCTTTCCAACTCCTCAGAATCTTCTTAAAAATTACTATCATTGGCAAAGAGCAACTGTAACAACTCCTACTTCATCCCATTCCAAAACTATCCCCCCCTCCTTTGCTTTTAGTATCTCAAGTCATAATTCCAGCTGGATTATCTGACTTAAATCATAAAATTTGCTTTTATCACAGGCTTTAATCCTCAAGAAAATGCAACTTACTGTGTAATCATCTTCATAACCTTCATCAGTATCTGGTTCACCCGTAGCAGGATCACAGTCTCGAACTTTAAACTTCAATGTTGCAGAAAAAGTACCTGTGAAAAATATTCTATATAGTCAGGTAAACATTTTTCATATTATCTATCTACATTCCAAAATAATTCCAGTTATGTCTTTCAAAAAATAGGTCAAACCATTCATTTTTTTTTTTTTCAACAAGTCGGCTGTTTCCCACCGAGGCAGGATGACCCAAAGAGAAAGAAAATCCCCAAAAAGAAAATACTTTCATCATCATTCAACACTTTCAACTCACTCACACATAATCACTGTTTTTGCAGAGGTACCCAGCATACAACAGCTTAGAAGTATAAACGTATAAAAATACACAATATATCTCTCCAAACTGCCAATATCCCAAACCCCTCCTTTCGAGTGCAGGCATTGTACTTCCCATTTCCAGGACTCAAGTCCGGTTATATAAAATAACTGGTTTCCCTGAATCCCTTCACTAAATATTACCTTGCTCACACTCCAACAGATCGTCAGGCCCCAAATACCATTTGTCTCCATTCACTCCTATCTAACACGCTCACGCACGCTTGCTGGAAGTCCAAACCCCTCGCCCACAACACCTTTACCCCCTCCCTCCAACCTTTACGAGCACGACCCCTACCCCGCCTTCCTTCCCCTACAGATTTATACGCTCTCCATGTCATTCTACTTTGATCCATTCTCTCTAAATAACCAAACTACCTCAACAAACCCTCTTCAGCCCTCTGACTAATACTTTTATTAACTCCACACCTTCTCCTAATTTCCACACTCCAAATTTTCTGCATAATATTTACACCACATATTGCTCTTAGACAGGACATCTCCACTGCCTCCAACCACCTCCTCGCTGCTGCATTCACAACCCAAGCTTCACACCCATATAAGAGTGTTGGTACTACTATACTTTCAAACATTCCCTTCTTTGCCTCCATAGATAACATTTTTTGCCTCCACATATACCTCAATATGACATCATAATATATGACATCATAATATATACCCCAATGAAATATATAACTGATACCCCTAATAATTATATGAAATGTTAAGATACTCAAGAAATAAGGTAGAAATTATTTTACAAATGAAACTAATGTATATAATCATCTATTGGCTACCAAATGAAGCAGAAATGTTGTAACTTCACAAGCCTCTCTAGCTCTGAGCAAACAAAAAAAAAAAAAAAAAGCTACCAGTTAAACAAGAGGATACTATCAGAGCCTTCCCCTTCCCCATCAAAGGAACTCAACAACTTAAAAGTCAAGTGATAAGGTGCAGGTGCTAAATTATCTTGTGATATCACCATGTTAAACTAAGTGAAAATTACAAGCTCACCTGTTGTGGCCATGATATCCTCAGGAATGGGAAGAAGAGTGTAACATGAGCCCAGCTGTGAGTAAGGAAGAGAGGGGCATGGCAAGGAAGCCTCAATGTCCCATCCATCACCTTCAACCACCACACTAACTGCTTCCAGTAACTGATCGTTCAGGGTATTTGTGCAGTCAAACTGTAATGTGTTTTGATGTGTCATAAATGTTGACAAATAAAGATGTAAATCTTACATGGATGGAAAATTAAACACAGAATAGGAAGATTTTTTATATTTAGGCTGCAATCAGAGGAGACCCTCTTCAGGTCTCTGACCCTGAAAATTATCTCCATGCCTAAAGTCCCTTCCTGAGTAGATGAGTCTCTCTGCATGAAAATGACCTCTGAGCCTGAAGAGGGCCTCTGATCACACAAGAAAAGACTCTCCGAGGCTGAAACACACATTATAGTTTTTTCACTGCTATAATTTCCGTCTATGTGGGAATTATCTTTTCTATGAAATATACGGGTAATTACACGACTAGGTAATTGTCTCTCATTGTATCAACGTTCAAAATTTACTATATATCCACTCAAATGACTGTATAGGTAAGGTTAGGGGCGAAAAAAGAAGAGGAGGATATTGGAGAGAAAAGAAAGGTAGGAGGTTGAAAAGTGAAGGTCTGATATGGGAGAAAAGTAGGAGAGAGTAAAGGGAAAGGAAGTAGAAAGAACAGGAGTAACAAAAGGATGGAACATAGGAACAAGAAGTAGATAACAAAGACAGGAAGGAGAGAGGGAGGGGTAAAGAGAATAAGAGAGAGGGAAAAAGGAAGTAAAATGAGGAAGACAGGAAGAGAAAAAGGAAGAAAAATGAAAGAGAGTATAAAGAAAGCAGAATGAGAGAGGGGGAAAGGAAGTATAATGAGGAAGGGGGAATATATGAAAAAATATGATGGAGGGGAGGAAGAAAAGGAGTGATAGATGGGGGACAGGAGTAAGGGAAGGGAGGAGTCAGGAAGGATGAAAGAAAACAGAAGAGGAGGAACAGGAGGAACATAAATAATGGAAGGATAAAAAACAGGAGTAGGAGGGAAAAGAATAGAACAAGGATAAATCAAGAGACAAAATGGAACAAAAAGGGAGAGGAAGAATGATCATAATTTTAACAGTAGTAAGAGCAATAAGGAATGAATTGAAAATGAACAGTTTCTAACATTACCTTCAGTGTCAAAAATTAACAAATAAATGGATTTCATTATTCCATGAACATACCTGGAGGACAATATGCTTCTGGAATGTATGCTTGATGCAGCGCACCATATATTCTGTTTCAGCTTCAGTTAGTTCCAAGGGTGCAGAGGACTTGAAGAGTGGACCAAGATGAGCAAAGTGAGGAATGGCTGCCAGCTGTTCTGCATACCTTAAAAAAAATGCAATGATAAAAAAAATTCTGGCAATACACTTAAGAAGACATCCACAATAGCATTTTATTTCATTTTTTAACATTATACCCATCTCCCACTGAGGCAGGGTGGACCGAAAAAGAAGTAATGCTTCCACCATCATTATCACTGTCTTACCAGCGGTCTGCCAATACTACAGTTCAGACGCCTTCCAAATGGCATATCCCCCCACCCCTCCTTCAGAGTGCAAGCACTGGACTTCCCACCTCATTTGGAAGCACTAAACCCCAACAGCAGCATTGATATATGGTACTTAAAATAATGCTAGTGTGTAAAACTTTTGCTAAAGGCTGGCATGAGCTGGATGATGGTTTTCAAAGGAGTGAATTTTGTTTTATCCTTCAGAATAAAGACAAAGAATAAAATGCCAAAAAAGATTAAGCACATACTAGAAAATCTTGAGACACTCATGCAACCCTAATAAATTGTTTGGGAAGCTTTAACAGAGTAGGACAAATACAGTGGAACCTTGGTACTCTAACTTAATTCATTCCAGAAGGCTGTTCGAGTGCCAATCCATTTGAGTATCAACGAATTCTTCCCAACTAATTTTCTTTTTGGTTGGCTGTTATCATTAATCTTCATAGGCCCCATGGTGACTTATATATATAAATAATATAAAAGCACCAAAAAAGTGAAGAAACACGAAACAGTTTACGCCGAAATTCTGGCAGGTCGTGTTTGTTTGGTCAAGTGTCAAGCTTTGTTTGAGTAGGGAGATGTTCGAGTACTGAGGTTCCACTGTATATGGGAGGTAATCAGGTTTGATGAGGAAGAGATGGGTAGCTCCAATTCCTTGGATCAAAACCCCTTCACTACCATTAAGCCACCCCCCAATGAAGGAACAATGAACAGAAGTTGCAAGAATGAAAGCATAAAAGATTAGTAACAGTGTGATGGATGTAACAAAACAAAAAATTACATGAATATTACTTGAACAAGTAACATATGAAGAGCTTACTTTTCATGAGTAGGTATAATGCGCTCCACTGGACGAGGTGCTGGCTCCATGATATTTGGAGTTTTCTTTTCTTCCTGTGGAGGGGGAGCTGTGGGTATTGTCCGAGTGTCAAAGGGTCCAGAGGTATCGGTCCGCAGGTACTGCACCAATGCACGTTCCAAACTTGGTAGTGCAAACTAGGAATAGAAAATGGCAGCTATACTACCTGTTCATTCTCTCACTAAAGAAATTACCTGAAACAATGATAAACTTTTCTGTATAATTACTGTACCAAGTGTAAAAGCTCCCCTGAGAAATACAAAACATATCACATAAATCTGAAATACAGTATAATATATTATGTAACTTATATTAGTAACCATAATGCAAACACAATATGATACCTGAGGTGGGTTGAGGATGTACTGATTAATAAGAGCATTGTCACGGGTGGCCAAAACAGCATGATAGTAAGTTGCTCGGTCCCGCACCTCATCTTCTGTGTCCATCATGCATCGTTGCAACAACACCAAAATATTACCCAACAAAGACTCGCACTGTGCACCAAACTTGGCAAGCACAGACACAGCTGCTGCCCGCACTGCTGCATTCTGTTCAAGAAAAACAGCAATGTTTTCTGTGACGTGTAACTGATTATCATTATTAACCTGTTTCTTGCTTTCATGGGGTCCAGAGCAAAAAGCCCAGAAAAGATTAAAAAATTGTGGGAATAATTAAATATATTACAAACCATACAAAATTTATTGTATTACATTACTATAGATTACCATATTTTCTAATTCACCGTGTCAATATTTTATTAGTTACAAACAACACAATAACCAATGAAATACTGACAGGGTGAACTAGAAAATATAATAATCTCCAATAATAAAATACAATAAATCCTGATATAAATTAGTTAAAAAGGAAGATAATTTCCCAAATAATGTTTATAGCCCTTAAATTTACTTTTATATACTGTACTTTTCTTCACTATTTCTTCCATTCATTAAATGGCATGACAACAGAAGATGTTAGATTACAATATTAATGAGCAAAATGTGGAGGGAAAAAAGGGGAATTAGTAAAGGGAAGAGAGAGGGGGAAGAGGACTAAGAAGAAAAAGGGGAAATGGGTGAAGGGGTGTAGAGAGGGGAATGGGAGAAGGAAATGCAGAGAAAAGGAGTAGGAGAGGGGAAAAGGAAGAGCAAAGGGAGAAGGGAAAGATAGGAGAAAGGGAAGAGGGACAGTAAAAGGAAGGGAAAAAGGTCAAAAGGATGAGGGAGAGAGACAAGGAATGAGAGGAGAGGAAACTCTGAGAATATCTTCTATTAGTATGTAATATTGAGGGTTTAGTGTATATGATTGCAACAGGGTATATCATAAACATAACTCTGACCTCCAGAATGACACGATTATAGACGAAGCGAATATATCGGGCAGGTTGTCGAGTACGTGGTCCTTCACGGCCTAACAAGTGAATTATGCGTACTGCCAGTGTTGTGTGTTCACAATCCTCGATGAATTCACATAAATGATCCAGACCTATAATTTGAAAGGGGAAAAAAAAAGCAGATATAAAATATACAAGACAGGTGGATCACCCATCCCAAAAATTTTGCCAAGTGGATGATGTGCTTTATCCCTTACATTTTCTCTTCACAATAAAACTTGAGCATGTTAGATAGGAGTGAAGGCAGACAAGTGGTTTTTAACAGAAGTGCTGTTGAAGTGTGAGCAAGTTAACTTTTATGAAGGGATACAGTGGAAACAGGTTAGCCAGACTTGAGTTCTGAAGGTGGGAAAAGCAGTACAATTACTCTGAAGAAGGGGTGGGGATGTTGCAGTAGGTTAATATGAATTGTGATATCAATACATTTCTGGAGAGATGGTGACTGAATAAATGCTGGTGAATGTGCTTTTTCTTTGGAGGGAGATAGTCACTGAAGTAAAAAAAATATATATATTCTTTTTAACTTGTCATTTTCTAATGAAAGTGGCCCAACAGAGAAAAATGCATGTACCACTCACTCACTCCCTTTCTAGATACATTTCCAAGAGACTCGACACTATTATCCACTGTTGACCCATTGAACCTCACCACCACCATTACAACTATTCTAACTTCACAGAATCTCAGATCAAGATGAAAATTCTGGACAATAACTAAAATGGAGCGAAACAGAGTGACTTCAAGAGTGTATCAGTCTGTAGTGGAAGGAAGGCGGGGTAGGGGTCGGCCTAGGAAAGGTTGGAGGGAGGGGGTAAAGGAGGTTTTGTGTGCGAGGGGCTTGGACTTCCAGCAGGCATGCGTGAGCGTGTTTGATAGGAGTGAATGGAGACAAATGGTTTTTAATACTTGACGTGCTGTTGGAGTGTGAGCAAAGTAACATTTATGAAGGGGTTCAGGGAAACCGGCAGGCCGGACTTGAGTCCTGGAGATGGGAAGTACAGTGCCTGCACTCTGAAGGAGGGGTGTTAATGTTGCAGTTTAAACTGTAGTGTAAAGCACCCTTCTGACAAGACAGTGATGGAGTGAATGATGGTGAAAGTTTTTCTTTTTCGGGCCACCCTGCCTTGGTGGGAATCGGCCAGTGTGATAATAAAAAAAATAAAACTAAAATCACGTGAGAAATGGCTCTAAATAGCTCACCTTTCTCCTTGGCTTCAGGATTATCCTCAATAATAGTAATGATAGTACTAGCGATGGCCTCTTTGTATGGTAAACCTCCTTCACTGCGCAGCATGTCTGCCAATTGCCCCATTAGTACTGCTTGTTTTCTTGGATATTTCAAAGCCAGGGCTCGCAAGGCCTACAAAATTGCCAAAATGCAAGAAGAGCAAAATTATTTACAATTCTTAGAGCATTCTATAAATATTAACAAACCATTTTAATCAAGTGCATATAAGAGGTTTCAGTACAATATTACTTCATACACTTTGAATGATAAAAATAACAAAAAATCTCCAGATACATCACATAAAAGCATCCTAGATAAGATCTTCCTCATAGGAGACCAAAGGTTCCACACCTGTTTATTCAAGAAAAGTGCTAAACCCATTTGGATCACACAACACATGAGGAATAATCTAAACCATGACCCAGAGTGACCTGAAGAAGGCAATAGAAGTCTTAAGACACACAGCAGAGTAGAGTCTTTCATTTATACAAGGTTTCACTATGTGCATTTTCAAATATTTGTGTCTAAATATCACCATTTGTCAACTAACAGACATATGACATAGGTATATTTATAGGCAAAATTTTTCAAGCAAGTTATATGCCCAACAATTTATGGTTATACTGATATGACTATCCAGTCTTAACAGGTAGATTACCATGCAGTCAGCATCCACAGGAAGTGCATGATGTATCGTAGTCTGTTCTTCTTTAATAAAAATTGTAGAGGTAAATAAAATATTGCTTATGTCAATTAACTGGAGGACTTTTGTTGTCAACAGAATTAAGGTAACGATAAATCTCACCTCTACAACTACAATCTTAAATTCATCAGAAATGTCATTAAGAAACGAAGAGATGGACTTCATGAGGCGGTCCACAGATCCCTCTGAGCCAGTCTTGAGAAGCGTGGTGATAGCCAAGGTAGCAATGGATCGATTTACATCTTGGATCAAGTTCTCAAGGTCCAAATTGCAAGCAGTCACTGCATTAGGCTGTGTCATTGCAACTTTACTAAGAGTACGTACTGCTGCAAATCTGGAACAGCAAGCTTTACATTAATACTGTAAATACAGCATGAAACAAAATAAAATACAATACAAAAAAATTTAATTGGGAAGAACTAGAGCTAAAGGAGGAGCAGTGGTAATACTAAATGACCAATTATGGTTGACCAGGAAAGCATCAGATGGGAGTAGAAAAACTCTCAGAACTCCTCAAAGGTAAAGGCATGGAAAGAAAAAACGGGGGGTTTAACTTCAAGAATTATGAGGATAGGCATAACAATGAGATGTGAGAAGTGGGTTTTGTCCCATTTTACACAACATACACCATATTTGCTGTAATTCGGCAACAAAACTGTTATCATACTTTAGAAATTTATTAGTGGTTATCCATCACTAACTCATCCTTGTCTAGAAAAACTTCAATGTTTACAGAGTATGCATGGCACAACACATTAACAACCAACAACCTGTACTGTATTCTTAAATTTATAAACTTGTTGAACAGTTACCTGAGAGTGGGCTTAGGACTGGACAAAAAGAGCTGCAAAACTGAAATGGCAGGGGCCAAGTCCCGAGCTGAAGATTTTCTGAGTGTGACAATGGCATTGGCTGCTTCATATATCACCATCTCTGCCTTATGTCTTAACATGGACTCCAAGAAGTCAAACAACCGTGAATCTGCTCCAACTTCATCTTCCTCGATGAGACGAGCTACAATACGAATCTGGAGGAGTTTAAATGAACAATTTAAAATATATATCCGTCATAAGCCACTCCCAATTAGCACATGTACACCAAGATGACAATTCAGTCCTTAGTACTCTACACAATCTTATATTCTGATAATGTGGCAAGTGTCTCATTTCATGCACCAAGACTAAAGTTATGACAGAATTATATCCAACAATGATGTTTGTTATCTTACGTAAAGCAGACCAAATTCAAAAAGACACAGTGGACTATTCATCAGTGAACTCGCTTGTCTACCCATGAGAGCAAAAGTTCTGAACAAGTGTAGCTGGAAGTGCACTTTTAATGTATTTCCATGGCTTGTCTGTTTGTAGCAATTACAAAATGTATGCTCAAGGTCTGTATTGCCAATGTCACACAGGTAATTTAACCCTTTGACTGTTTCAGGCCCCTTTCTGAAACTGTCATTCTATGTCGCTCAATTTTTGAAAAAAAAAAAAAAAAAATTTCTTATGAAATGATAGAGAATCTTTTCCCGATGGTAATGACACCAAAAGTTCGAGATTTGGTCAAAAACTCATGGAATTATGCTCCCGCGAAGTTAGCGGTCTCGGCGACATATGTGTATCGGCGATTTCGCCGACTTTGAGCCCTATTTTCAGCCAATTCCATTGTTCCAGTTGACCAAACTCATAGCTATTTCTTTAGAACTTCATTTTATCTATCAGCTGAGTACAAGAAACCTCCCATTTACTAATTTGGACTACCCAATATGATAGTCAGAAATTGGCAATTTGGCCAATTTCACGCAAACTAAAAAAGATGCCAATTTCAAAATAGGGTCCAGAATAAACAAGGTAGACATTCGTGGCACTAAAATAACATATGCTATGTTCATTAGTCACATCTCTAGGCCCCTCTTATATTATTATTGCTTTCTATTTTGATTTTTTATTCATACAAAAAAATACAAAATTTACTGTTATGCTAGACTACTGCATTATTGTAAAAATGGTATAAATAATATCAGTGCACTAGAAAAGAAATATTAGACCACCAGTTGACGTTATTGGACTGTGGTGTGATTATTACTCCTGAAATTGGTAAAAATCGAATATTTCTGCTACTTTGAGCTCAGTTTCAGTCGTTTTCATCGTCAAAGTAATGAAAATCATCTCATTTTCTCGTAAATATGTTTTCCATTTTATCACCTAAGACCATAAACCGAATACAAACGAATAACTATATCGTCGAAATACACCTCAAAGTCGCGTTTTTTCCAAAAAAACGATCCAATTTTTTTTTTTCTCATTACGCACATGTGCTGCAGGATTTTTTTTGTATGTGGTGCACTGACCCACAGACCATTCTCACATGTGGCCTACCAAGCTTCTTCCACGCTTGATTTGAAGCTGCTAGAATTATATGAGATTAACGTCAGAAAATTGGCTCTAAAGCCTATTATATCGTCGAAAACAGTCAAAGGGTTAAGTGCTTGTCCTAAAGCCTGGGTGAACCCTAAAAACATATGGAGGCTTTAAATCTGGAAGTAAAAAAAATTTTTTGGCCTGTTTCGGGTGAAAGGTTATCTATAATCCTTCTATTGTTATTTTGTTAATCCAACAATACCCAAGTTTTAAGCTTTCTAAATACTGCATGTTCCTGCCTCATCACCTTCAATTACTAAACCCACCAAAATCACAGACACCTGCTTCTGCAACAGACCAAAATTGAACAAATACCCCCAACTAAAATTAGGCAGAATAAACTCTCAGGAAAAACAGACCTTTCTTATCATAAACAATACTAAACTACCTCTAGAAACCAATAAACAAAAAATGAGACTTCATAATGAAGACTTAATGAATAACGCTACCACTGCTGGAAGAAAAACTGGGAAAGGAAACTGGCAATCTTCAAAGCATTATAATTAATGTAAGTGCATATCCTTTTCAATTATTATTAGGCTAAGACTTGCCTAAAATGTTACATAATGTACACTATGTGATCACAATAAAGACAAAGATACATCTAGAAATGACAGTCTTAAATGCTCATTTATGACTTACTGCTCTAACAAAACTTCATACACATTAAAGCCTGTATAGAGAATAACACAGAACACAAAGTTAAAACTTCAAGGCATGCAAACTATGAGATAAATAACTTACCAATAAACAGATGGCATAAGGAGAACGAAGACCCGAAGACGTTAATTTGGTAACCATTTTTGTAACGGCAAGTTTATCTGACTTACGAATTTGGTGTAACACTCCTAGTGCATGAAACTGAACCATCACACTGGAAAGAATTGTTTTAAACAGGTTTACCAAAATGTTACACAAGAATTCAGTTTCAGAACAGTCATTGATGTACAGTACAGCCTCACCTCACTTAACGACAGAGTTCCGTTCCTAAGAATTCGTCGGTAAACGAATTCGTCACCAAGTGAGGAGCATACTATAATGGCAGTGGGTTTGTGTCAACCATCTCTGGTATTGTTTTAATGTCACCTTTGCACCATTTATAACATTTCTGGTATATTTTTAAATGTTTATACAATTGTGTACTGTATATTGTAATAAAGAGAATAGAGGAAATCAGCTCTAATATACATTATTAAGGTATGCATACTGATCAGAGAGCCCGTTTTAATTCTGAGTCGTTGGTAAACAAGTACGTCGCTAAGTGAGGAGAGGCTGTACTATATTATGATTTGTGGAAAATCATAAAGGCTATCCATCAAATGGAAGGGACAAGAAAGGGATAGAGGAAAGGAAGGAAAGATATAGGAGAGGAGAGGTGAAAGAAGAAAGAGAAAGAAGGGACAAAGAGAGGGAGATAAAAAGGGAGAGAGGAAGAGGGAAATGGGGAAGAATGGAGAGAGAAATCTTTTAAATATAAAATGAATGAGCTTTAAACATAATTAGAAAATAATGAAAATATTTCCTAATTTAAAAAACTTTCCTTCAATAGCCATGTACTGTACATTTTAGTATGAAATTATATGCACACACACTAATTCGTAGTATTATCAAGGAACAAACGCCACCATTTATTGAAATGTGTTGAATGCCCCAATTTAATAAACTGCTACAAAATCATAGTCTAAGAATAATCCACAGAGAGAACATAATCACTAACCAGTCAGAACTAAGTGCTTCCTGCACTTCAGAGACCCAGCGCTTGACAACATCAGGTGAATCCTTCATTATATGTCGACAAGATACTAGAGCAGCGCTGCTTACACCAGGTGCACGATCAACAATGGCTTGCTTCATGTATCTCTCAATAGCTTGCATCATAGTAGCCTGTGGAATGTATTAAATATGACAGTGTGAGTAAAAGTAGAAAATGTTAAATGCTATTGGGTAAATCAAATTATGCTATAACATTAAAAGGGTTGCTAAATTTCAGCAGAACTCAACACTAATTTTGTTACAAAAGCATGTGTGAAAACTATAAAAAAAAAAAATTGGATTAAGCCCATAAAAAGGCATGAACCTCAAATATAGGATTAATGCATCTAAAATTTCACCAAACAACATGATGAAAAACCCAACAACTGTCTCTGGGCCAATAGGAGCAACCATGATCATGATCATAAGAAGTCGCTGCCACCCGGACCAGTTACAGCAACCATGATAAGAAGTCACTGGATGATGATAGCAACCTGCATCTACTAAATGAGCTCCTGTCACAATTTCCCGGCAGGAACTAGGTAACATTCACTTTAAAGACAGCAACAATTTTACAACAACAAAAAAAAATTATATAGAACTACAACAACAAAGTCTGAGTTGTGCAGCCTATTATTTCAAAGCATCTAGAGAATGGGAGGCAATTAGATTTGATCTGAGGAAGAGGAAGTAGCTCTAATTCCTTGGATCAAAAGCCCTTCACCAACAACAAGGTACCATGCTTATAAAACTGTCAAACACCAGGTACAAGCAGGTTTCAAACTACATCTTAAGCTAATCTCTTCAACCACAGATAGTTAGCACAGTCAAATGGGATGGAGCAAGACCTTTTGCAATAAACCCTGGCTTCTTGCCAGTATTCCTCCACTACAATACAGTGGACCCCCCCTTACAATATAATTTCATTCCAGAAGTATGTTCAGGTGCCGTTACCGAAAGAATTTGTTCCCATAGGGAATATTGTGAATTAGATTAGTCCGTTTCAGACCCCCAAAAATACACGTACAAAAGCACTTACATAAATACACTTACATAATTGGTTGCATTGGAAGCTGATCGTAAGGCGGGGGTCCACTGTATAGGAAAATATGTCAGTCTCATCTCATATGCGTCACACCACGCTTAATCTTTATCCCTTAATGCACCTATAGAACTATGCTAAGAATAGACGCAACTTAACACTGAATCAGGGCAAAATAATGCACTTCTGTACTAGGTACAATATTCCAAATATATTACTTCTTTACCTGTGAAACTTGTTCAATATTTAAACAACCCAAATACTAATGAAATCAATCATAGACATAACCAATTATTTTATTTGAATTATTTAAACATACATACATCTGTGATTCTGCATAATGCTCTGATTGCTGGGGCCCTGTACTGATCCTCTCGTCCAGTCATATCTTTAGTTAAGGAAGATGTTACAATGATTGTGTCTTCAGCAACAGTGCACAGTTCCTGAAATTATGAAAATCTGAAGAAAACTGAGAGGAATATACAAAGTAAAACAATGTTAACAGCAACTGGTAAGCGATGTAGTTACATTAATGCTAAATTATGTCACTTAACACATTTAAGCATGTACATACAAAAAAAAAATTATAACGCATATAAAGTTCAGTGCTACACTGTAGGCAAGATTAATTATAATACTTTAAATGAATATAGGAATTGCATCACAGTTATATTGTATGTGTATACAGTAATACAACGCTGTCATTGCATACACTAAACAAAATGTAATTTTTGTTCTATTTGGCTCCCAGTTTACTTAAATTCCATACACCTCTGTCATTCTCAAGTTTGCTTCAGTCAGCCATCCACCCACACTGTATCCCAGCAACCAGCTCAGTGCAGTGCAGCTCACGTGTTGCAGTGAGGAGAGGTGCTGTGTATCCCTATACTGTTTGTCTCAGCCACTGCCACTAAAGTATATCAAAGGTATATCTGATCAATATAAGTCATTGTAATCCATAGCAAGAAATACCAAGGTAAAAATTTATTTTATTAACTAATAATTACTCTCTATTCTTGCCTATATTTTGAAGAAATTATAAATTTATTACAACCTGAGGTGTTGCAATAGTTTCTAACCTTAATACCAAGATAAACAAGACGTCGAAGGACCAAGTCATTACTCTGAAACAATTTGGTCATTGCAAAGAAGGCATCGGTAGCTTCTTTGGTTGCAAGAGTTTCCCCTTGGTTAAGCAAGTAAAGTATCTTTGTGAGGACGTGGGTACTACGCTTCACATTAACTGGAGTCTCGTTGAAAACCCGAGCTTCTTGTAGCACCGAAGTCTTATCCATGCTGTGGTATGGATTCCCACCCCCTGCAAATAAAACAATGGAGAAATTTTGATTAAAAACTAAACAGACATTAAATATTTCATTACAAAAAAATCTTTAATATGCACCTCGTATTCATTGTATGGGTGGCCATCAAGAAATTATACGTATAAGCATTTGATGGGCTCGGGAACAACGCCCCCTTATCTCTTCAGGTTAAGTTACAGTGGAAATAGGAAATTTATTATAAAAGTCAACCTGTATACTCATGAATTCTTATAGCACATTATATCATTAGAAGTGAAATACGTATACACCATATCATACCTGGATATTTCCTGATCATTTGTTAATGAATCTAGGATCGAACCCAAGTCATTTACTGTGTGAGACATCCTACCATTAACTTAAAAGTCAAAATCTTTAATGCCAGCGGGATTTGAAAAGGGGATCTGGAATATTTTGAAGTAAAAGAAAAAAAAAGATAAATATGAATATAATTATACTGTGCATAATGGAATCACCTCTACCTTTGATATACCAGACAAGCCTGGGCCTGGGCAAGGTTTCTCTGATATTTGCTTAATCAATCAGGGAAGTAGAGGTTAGGAAACTTGTCCACAAATGGGATACCAAAAGAATTAGAACACAGGTAACTGCAATCCTTGCTTTTCCGAGGGTTCAACTTTGGTACCTTCAGTTGTGGGTTGAACTATCACCACTACAACGTAACACTACCACCACTACGACATAACACTACTGCCACTACGACATAACACTACTGCCACTATGACGTAACACTACTGCCACTATGACGTAACACTACTGCCACTACGATGTAACACTACCACCACTGTAACGTAACAAACACACTATTACAGGCAGGGCCACCAGAATGAATTTTATTACAAGAGCAGCAGCAGTATTAGAAACAGTGGTGGTAATAATATGTGGTGGTGGTGTAAACAAGTGGTGGTGGTGGTGGTGTTAACAGTGGCACTAACAAGTGGTGGCATTAACTAGTGGTGGCACTAACAAGTGGTGGCATTAACAAGTAGTGGCATTAACAAGTGGCAGCATTAACAAGTGGGAGCATTAACAAGTGGGAGCATTAACAAGTGGCAGCATTAACAAGTGGTGGCATTAACAAGTAGTGGCATTAACAAGTGGCAGCATTAACAAGTGGCGGCATTAACAAGTGGCGGCATTAACAAGTGGCGGCATTAACAAGTGGTGGCACTAACAAGTGGCGGCATTAGCAAGTGGCGGCATTAACAAGTGGCGGCATTAACAAGTGGCGGCATTAACAAGTGGTGGCACTAACAAGTGGCAGCATTAACAAGTGGCAGTAATAACACGTGGCAGCATTAACAAGTGGCAGTAATAACAAGTGGCAGCATTAACAAGTGGCAGTAATAACAAGTGGCAGCATTAACAAGTGGCAGTAATAACAAGTGGCAGCATTAACAAGTGGCAGTAATAACAAGTGGCAGCATTAACAAGTGGCAGTAATAACAAGTGGCAGCATTAACAAGTGGCAGTAATAACAAGTGGCAGCATTAACAGGTGGCAGCATTAACAAGTGGCAGTAATAACAAGTGGCAGCATTAACAAGTGGCAGTAATAACAAGTGGCAGCATTAACAAGTGGCAGAAATAACAAGTGACAGCATTAACAAGTGGCAGTAATAACAAGTGGCAGCATTAACAAGTGGCAGTAATAACAAGTGGCAGCATTTACAAGTGGCAGTAATAACAAGTGGCAGCATTAACAAGTGGCAGTAATAACAAGTGGCAGCATTAACAAGTGGCAGAAATAACAAGTGGCAGCATTAACAAGTGGCAGTAATAACAAGTGGCAGTAATAACAAGTGGCAGTAATAACAAGTGGCAGCATTAACAAGTGGCAGTAATAACAAGTGGCAGTAATAACAAGTGGCAGTAATAACAAGTGGCAGCATTAACAAGTGGCAGTAATAAGTGGCAGCATTAACAAGTGGCAGCATTAACAAGTGGCAGTAATAACAAGTGGCAGTAATAACAAGTGGCAGTAATAACAAGTGGCAGTAATAACAAGTGGCAGCATTAACAAGTGGCAGTAATAACAAGTGGCAGCATTAACAAGTAGCAGTAATAACAAGTGGCAGTAATAACAAGTGGCAGTAATAACAAGTGGCAGTAATAACAAGTGGCAGCATTAACAAGTGGCAGTAATAACAAGTGGCAGTAATAACAAGTGGCAGCATTAACAAGTGGCAGTAATAACAAGTGGCAGCATTAACAAGTGGCAGTAATAACAAGTGGCAACATTAACAAGTGGCAGTAATAACAAGTGGCAGTAATAACAAGTGGCAGCATTAACATGTGGCAGTAATAACAAGTGGCAGCATTAACAAGTGGCAGTAATAACAAGTGGCAGCATTAACAAGTGGCAGTAATAACAAGTGGCAGCATTAACAAGTGGTAGCATTAACAAGTGGCAGCATTAACAAGTGGCAGCATTAACAAGTGGCAGTAATAACAAGTGGCAGTAATAACAAGTGGCAGTAATAACAAGTGGCAGTAATAATAAGTGGCAGTAATAACAAGTGGCAGCATTAACAAGTGGCAGTAATAACAAGTGGCAGCATTAACAAGTGGCAGTAATAACAAGTGGCAGTAATAACAAGTGGCAGCATTAACAAGTGGCAGCATTAACAAGTGGCAGTAATAACAAGTGGCAGTAATAACAAGTGGCAGTAATAACAAGTGGCAGCATTAACAAGTGGCAGTAATAACAAGTGGCAGCATTAACAAGTGGCAGTAATAACAAGTGGCAGTAATAACAAGTGGCAGCATTAACAAGTGGCAGTAATAACAAGTGGCAGTAATAACAAGTGGCAGCATTAACAAGTGGCAGCATTAACAAGTGGCAGTAATAACAAGTGGCAGTAATAACAAGTGGCAGCATTAACAAGTGGCAGCATTAACAAGTGGCAGTAATAACAAGTGGCAGTAAAAAACAAGTGGCAGTAATAACAAGTGGCAGTAATAACAAGTGGCAGCATTAACAAGTGGCAGCATTAACAAGTGGCAGTAATAACAAGTGGCAGTAATAACAAGTGGCAGTAATAACAAGTGGCAGCATTAACAAGTGGCAGTAATAACAAGTGGCAGTAATAACAAGTGGCAGCATTAACAAGTGGCAGTAATAACAAGTGGCAGTAATAACAAGTGGCAGTAATAACAAGTGGCAGTAATAACAAGTGGCAGCATTAACAAGTGGCAGCATTAACAAGTGGCAGTAATAACAAGTGGCAGTAATAACAAGTGGCAGTAATAACAAGTGGCAGCATTAACAAGTGGCAGCATTAACAAGTGGCAGTAATAACAAGTGGCAGCATTAACAAGTGGCAGAAATAACAAGTGGCAGCATTAACAAGTGGCAGTAATAACAAGTGGCAGCATTAACAAGTGGCAGTAATAACAAGTGGCAGCATTAACAAGTGGCAGTAATAACAAGTGGCAGCATTAACAAGTGGCAGTAATAACAAGTGGCAGTAATAACAAGTGGCAGCATTAACAAGTGGCAGTAATAACAAGTGGCAGTAATAACAAGTGACAGTAATAACAAGTGGCAGTAATAACAAGTGGCAGCATTAACAAGTGGCAGCATTAACAAGTGGCAGCATTAACAAGTGGCATTAACACCAGTGAAGGTGCCACCAACACTGTTAACATTATCAATTGTCATCAACCAGAGTTAACACGGTGGTGCCAATCACTGGCACCAAGGAACAATATACAAACATTACAACTTACGGACAACAACCTAAACATCTTACTAATATCACAACAACAATCAAAGCAAAGCGCTAAACCCACAAGGAATCGCCTAAACATCATGACCGGCGGCAGAGTTTGACAGGTCAACACACACACTCACTAACTCAACTCACCATTAACACACTTCAACTCACCATTATCACTCTCCTCCCAAGCTACATATATACTAACATGTACCTTACCTTCTTCCTCATCTTTCTTTATCTGCTTGAATGAACTCATCATCTTTATTAAGCTCAATAAAGCTCGCCTTCTCCAGCTTCAGCTCAGCTGACACCAGCTTTGTTATGGCCACGTCGACCCACAACCTGCCTCTTGGTTCTTTTTCACTCTCTATATTAATAACAACATTATAAAAAAAAGTTTTATGACAGTCAATATAAATATTATAATGTTGGATGAATATATATATATTTAAAAAATTAAAACATCTCATATTTATGGTATAAAATGGGAAGATTTCAAGTAGGATTAAACCTACTTTTTGTATATCGTAAACACATTAAAAGAGAAATATATATATATATATATATATTATATATATATATATATATATATATATATATATATATATATATATATATATATATATATATATATATATATATATATATATATATATATGTCGTGCCGAATATGTAAAACTGGTCAATTAGCAAGAACTCATTTAAAATTAAGTCCTTTCTCGAATTTTCTCTTATACGTTTAAAGATATATTTTTTTCATTAATGTTAATGTAAAAAAATTTAATTTTGCACCAGAAGAATCTTAGAAAACTTACCTAACCTTATTATAACAAGAACAATTTATTTTAGCTTAACGTAACTAAATATATTTTAGATTTGTTTACAATAATTTAATACTAAACAAACACAGTGAAATATATTTTTTTCGTTAGGTTCAGAATGATTTTGGCGAAATTATTGCATACACAGGTTTTCGCTTGTCCTATATGGCAGGATGAGCGTTGCTATATAAGCCAAGATCGCAAGTTCTGCCTATTCGGCACGACATATATATATATATATATAATATATATATATATATATTATATATATATATATATATATATATATATATATATATATATATATATATATATATATATATATTATATATATATATATATATATATATATATTTCTCTTTTAATAATGTATTTACTATATACAAAAAGTAGGTTTAATCCTACTTGAAATCTTCCCGTTTTATATTTATATTCCACTTATTGCTGCTCTTGCAACGTTGCATAGCTCCTGATGACGCATGGAGATATGTGAAAGATTTTGAGTTGAATATTTCTATCCCCCATATTGTTGTGACCCAATAGGAGAGTAAATAGCTAGATAAGACCTAATTTAAAGTTGAGGTCCAGATCTAAACTGCCGCATTAGTTTAATATTAAAACACTAACATGTTATCTACATCCTACTAATAATTTTTGTTTCCTGTGCAAAATTTTATTTCTGGAGATATTAGCAAAAATAATAATTTTATTTTAGGCATGAACGGCACGTCAGAGCCAATCAGTGATTTGTATTGTGCAACTTGTTTAGCCAATCACAGCAGCATATACAAAGATGTAAATGTAAACAAAGATGCATCTGAATGTAAACAAAGATGCATCTGAATGTAAATAAAGATGCACCTGAATGCAAAGACGCGTTTAATAAAAAAGTATCAAAATGCAAACAATGCAGAATGAGTAAAAAATTATGCATATGTAAGTAAGCAAGTAAGTTAAGTTGGTAGGTAAGTATGTAAGTTGGTACGTAAGTAAATAAATAAGGATGGAAGAAATGAAGTAAGTAAGTAAGTAAGTTTATTCAGGTATACACAAATACAGTTACATAGAATTATCATACATAGCAGCATACGTGTAGAGAACCTGGGATAACCCAAAAAAGTCAGACAGAGCGAAGTTAGTATTTTTTTTTTAATTAGGCCACTTCATAATTTTAGAGAACAAATTATTTAAAACTTGCAACGCTGTATGACCCTTGTGGGTTTAGCGCTTAGTGATAATAATAATAATAATAATAATAATAATAATAAATAATAATAATAATAATAATAATAATAATAATAATAATAATAATAATATAAAATAATAATAATCACAGAATTTAACTAACAAAGATACGCCAGTAAAATCAGTGTGACTTATTGTGCTTTATTGAATTATCTTCACAACTTTACATTGCTTTAAGCAAAGATCTTAGATCTAAATAGTCACTACTAACCATTTTTTTTATTGTTAAGAAACCGAAATAAACTTAAACAATAAGAGGTGTGTCAAGTTTTTTGTTCAATGAAGCAACATTTTGAACGATAAGATGTGGGAAAAATGACCAATATTTCCGTGTTAAATAAAAAAATGACAAGGTTATTTAAAGAAAATTAATAAATATATATCCCTCGGGGTATATACATGGGTATATATATATATATATATATATATATATATATATAATATATATATATATATATATATATATATATATATATATATAATATATATATATCATATATATATATACATATATATTGTATGTATGTATGTGTATATCCCTCAGGGTATATACATATCCATGTATATATCCTGGGGTATACAAATGGGTATATACATACCCATGTGTATACCCCTAAGAGTACATAATGGGTTATTTGAGATAATAAATTTTCGAGGGTTGAAAAACAGGCCTATGTGACTGTATACGGAAATTTTTGGCCCATATGACTACTTGTTAATAGTTATATTAAACTAACTAGTCAACAGTCTAAATTTAGTGTAAAAAACTATAATATTCATGGCTTCCATTCTATAATAAAATCAATTACGGCTAAAAAAAAATGGTATCTGAGATGAAATATTTTGAGAAAAGGTTAATAGTTATATTAACTAGTCAATAATATAAGTTTAATGTAGGAAAACTAGCATATTCAAGGGTCTATATTCTATAATAAAGTCAAGGCTAAAAAAAAAAAATTGTGTCTGAGATGAAATACTTTGAGATGAGGTTAAAATATATGAAAATTGTGAGTGTTGAAGGTCACATCAGTCAGCTGGTGGTCACACCTGCTTCCTTCACTCTTATTACTGGTGCATTCTTCTCTACTGCTAGTACCAGGTAACATGGTGGAGCTTGTGTTGTGGTGGAGCTTGTGGTGGAGCTTGTGTTGTGGTGGAGCTTGTGGTGTGGTGGAGCTTGTGTTGTGGTGGAGCTTGTGGTGGAGCTTGTGTTGTGGTGGAGCTTGTGGTGTGGTGGAGCTTGTGGTGTGGTGGAGCTTGTGATGTGGTGGAGCTTGTGTTGTGGTGGAGCTTGTGGTGTGGTGGAGCTTGTGTTGTGGTGGAGCTTGTGTTTGTGTGGAGCTTGTGTTGTGGTGGAGCTTGTGTTGTGGTGGAGCTTGTGGTGTGGTGGAGCTTGTGGTGTGGTGGAGCTTGTGGTGTGGTGGAGCTTGTGGTGTGGTGGAGCTTGTGATGTGGTGGAGCTTGTGTTGTGGTGGAGCTTGTGGTGTGGTGGAGCTTGTGTTGTGGTGGAGCTTGTGTTGTGGTGGAGCTTGTGGTGTGGTGGAGCTTGTGTTGTGGTGGAGCTTGTGGTGTGGTGGAGCTTGTGGTTGTGGTGGAGCTTGTGTTGTGGTGGAGCTTGTGTTGTGGTGGAGCTTGTGGTGTGGTGGAGCTTGTGTTGTGGTGGAGCTTGTGTTGTGGTGGAGCTTGTGGTGTGGTGGAGCTTGTGTTGTGGTGGAGCTTGTGATGTGGTGGAGCTTGTGTTGTGGTGGAGCTTGAGTGTGGTGGAGCTTGTGTTGTGGTGGAGCTTGTGTTGTGGTGGAGCTTGTGTTGTGGTGGAGCTTGTGGTGTGGGTGGAGCTTGTGTTGTGGTGGAGCTTGTGTTGTGGTGGAGCTTGTGTTGTGGTGGAGCTTGTGTTGTGGTGGAGCTTGTGTTGTGGTGGAGCTTGTGTTGTGGTGGAGCTTGTGATGTGGTGGAGCTTGTGTTGTGGTGGAGCTTGTGTTGTGGTGGAGCTTGTGTTGTGGTGGAGCTTGTGTTGTGGTGGAGCTTGTGGTGTGGTGGAGCTTGTGTTGTGGTGGAGCTTGTGATGTGGTGGAGCTTGTGTTGTGGTGGAGCTTGTGGTGTGGTGGAGCTTGTGGTGTGGTGGAGTTTGTGGTGGAGCTTGTGTTGTGGTGGAGCTTGTGATGTGGTGGAGCTTGTGATGGAGCTTGTGTGTGGTGGAGCTTGTGATGTGGTGGAGCTTGTGATGGAGCTTGTATTGTGGTGGAGCTTGTGATGTGGTGGAGCTTGTGTTGTGTTTGAGCTTGTGTTGGAGCTTGTGATGTGGTTGAGTTTATGTGTGGAGCTTGTGTATGTGGTTGAGCTTGTGTGAGAGCTTGTGATGTGGTGGAGCTTGTGTTGTGGTGGAGCTGGTGTTGTGGTGGAGCTTGTGGTGTGGTGGAGCTTGTGATGTGGTGGAGCTTGTAATGTGGTGGAGCTTTTGATAACATAGTACAGCTTGTGGTAACATAGTACAGCTTGTGGTAACATAGTAGAGCTTGTGGTAACATAGTAGAGCTTGTGGCAACATAGAGCTTGTGGTAACATAGTAGAGCTTGTGGCAACATAGAGCTTGTGGTAACATAGTAGAGCTTGTGGTAACATAGTAGAGCTTGTGGTAACATAGTAGAGCTTGTGGCAACATAGAGCTTGTGGTAACATAGTAGAGCTTGTGGCAACAGAGCTTGTGGTAACATAGTAGAGCTTGTGGCAACATAGAGCTTGTGGTAACATAGTAGAGCTTGTGTCAACATAGAGCTTGTGGTAACATAGTAGAGCTTGTGGCAACATAGAGCTTGTGGTAACATAGTAGAGCTTGTGGCAGCAGAGCTTGTGGTAACATAGTAGAGCTTGTGGCAACATAGAGCTTGTGGTAACATAGTAGAGCTTGTGGCAACAGAGCTTGTGGTAACATAGTAGAGCTTGTGGTAAAGTAGCAGAGGTTATATACTTGGTAACATAGCATCACTTATGATAGTGTAGAATAGCTTATAATAGATATTATGTAGCAAAACTTGTGATAATTTACCTAAAGCAACGTAGCTGCGCATATGATATAACTGAGCAACTTTAAAATAACCTTTTAACATAACAGTATATTACCGTTAAATTCACAAAGTTTTCTTTCTGTTGTGTATATATGCAGAATATTTTGTAAGCTCTCCACAGTGTTCCGTTCTTGTATTTCTAAATTATCCGTGTACCCACATGACCGTCGCAGAAATTTTTACTGTTATCTAAAATATATTTGTAGATTTTTGCTAGCTTATCTTGCTTTGTATTAATGGATTACGGTGCTGTATGACCCTCTCGGGTTTAGCTCGTCATTAATTTGATTATATTATTTTTATCGTAATGGGAAAAAATTATTAAAATCTGAAAATGCTTGCAAACCATGAACAAATTCAGAATGCTGTGAAAAAAAAAAAAATTAAAAAAATCAATCTGGTGTGTCCTGTCAGATGGCTGTTGCTGATAAATTTTTTCTCCTGAGTTTTTTAAATAAATTATTTCTTGTAGGTGTTTTCTAAAGGATTGACTAAACATATTAAGTCATATTTTAATTGAGACAGAAAATAAAAATATTTACATACATGACTCTTACAAAGGTTACATTTTCTTTTGTGATACTTCACTGTAACGGTTTAACCAAGGTCACTTGAGATGCGTTATCTAAATTTTTTATAAAGTGAAACTGGATGAAATTGCATTGTATTGCCACCATCATTTTTGTATTTTGCATAGTGATATATGACCCATTCATCTTTAGTGCTTGCTTGTGAATAATTATGGTATGTAACAGAGAGCTAATCATGTATACCTGACACAAAAATGCTCACAGAAATAAAGCATTATGATGATTATTATTATCATTATATTTAGTAGAATGCCAGTGATCTCACTGACATTTTTCAAGTCACTGATCAGTCTAGAGAGTTTCAAATATTGTACTCATGAATAGTTCTACCTTATATAAATGAAGCAAAGCTGTGTACAATAACTAACTTAACATAACCTAGACTCGAAATATATTGCTTTGCCCCAAATGCATTGAATAAATAGAGGCTTACACATAAAAGTTAACATTGCTGAACACTATAATTCATAATGTATTTCATGGATAATAGAGATTTATTTATTTATAAATTATGTTTTTTTTTTTACTTAAAACATTACATTACGACATAATGTATAAATATAAATAAATAACAATAACATCAGAACATACAAACACATTTAATACCCTCAAGAAACCCCAACCCGTTAACACCGGCTGTCCGGTGTGTTATAGCTAACAGACATTGGCAAATACTGAAACATACCCTGACATAACTTTCTCTCACATAGGTGGTACAGATGGACACAACCACAGACCAACCACAACAAAAGCCCCACACCAAGGCTACATACATGACTGGGACCATGTCTCTACCATAAACAATATTTTGAGAGCCTTATAAATTATATTGGTGGATACATAGTTATATTTTAATGTTACCATGTACCTTCCTCCTGGATAACTTGTTGACATAATTAGATATTGGTAAAATTTCTGACAAGATATTACAGTATACTCTCCTTTATAATGGACTTCAGAAATACAGGACAAAATCCACTGGGTCAATCAATTTAGAAACAATGGACAATTGCATTAGTTACAGATTTGTCCATTTATATTACAATCACAACAAAATTATTTCTGTTGGCCACAGTTGCTATTTCCAGTCACTCGTTTACCCTGATTAGTAGGTTGTTTAGAGGATTTACTGTAAGTTAATGAGAAAAGCAACTAATGGGATTCTTTTTACAGCTGTTTTGATCTTTTAATCAAGCCATTTTTGGCCTGATAAAGCTCATGGAGAGCAAAACCTAGCAATAATAAGTATTACTGTTGTTTCCTTTTACCTAACATCATTTACACTTACGATTCATACTGTGGCTCAGTTAATGATGTCCTGTGGCTTGGTTGATAGCATTCTCACCTCACTGAGGAATTATAGTTACTCTCCCCTTTGTTGGATTAAACCAGATTGCCTCCCATTTTCCAGGCACTGTATGACCCTTGCTCCATCCCATGCTTGTCACCACGTTCTTTAGCAGCTTTTAAACAGGTCAACTTGTCTACCACTTCCACCTGTCAAACAGCTTACTTCAAGCTTGGCTTGGGGCCTATGGCACTTCCAAATACAACAACAAAATCTTGTCTCACTTATAGTCACCTGACATTTCAGGTTTCACTATGGCATTGAGTCAGAAGATTGGACAGTCTCTTCGACATGTGAGGAGCCGTTTCCTGCAAACGTCATGTGGACTAAGCAAAGTTAGTGATAAATTCTTACTCTACAATAACTATAATATAATCAGATAAGACCCTAAACCTGAAAGGGTTCTTATTACTGTCCAATTTGTTTTCCTTGTATAAGGGGATGCCATTCATCTCTCTCTTTATTGTTGAATAATAAGTGCAAGTTATACACTATTAAGAAAATAATGATTTGTGATTTTATTTAGTGTGGTATATAGATATGTGTCCTGTTTGCCTTCATAGGAGTCATCAGACCCTTATGCAGAAGTGATTTTTAATGTACTTCATGACCATGTTATGTAATCAAATATACAGTACAGGGTACATGTTCTTGCTGAGTTAATTAACTTTTTAAGTTTGCTTTATAAATTAAATGTTTTTGGAGGCAGTCATATTTCAAGTGTCTTAATTGTACAGTATGGTAGCTTATGTTAAAAGTTAAAGCAAAAAAAAAATCACATTTCCATTGCTTGATTAGCAACTTTTGTTTTCTTTAATAATTTACTGTTTTTGTTCTTTTTTTCAGCAAATTAATTATGCAGAAGATATTGATCCACAGCAGTTTGCACTTCTTGATGAACCATGCATCTTAGTTGATGAAAATGACACAAATATAGGCTCAGCTTCAAAACGTGACTGTCATTTGATGCAGGATGGATCAAGCCTTCTTCATCGGGCTTTTAGTGTCTTCTTGTTTAATTCTTCCGGTGAACTTCTGGTGCATCGTCGTTCAGATGCCAAGGTATTGTATAAGTTATAATGTTAATACATTTTGTATTTACTGTATTGTATTTTCATTGTAGGGTACAGTACATTCTTTACTGTTACATAATGTATATACAAATTGGTCTTAACATATGAATTCACCAGAGAATAACAAGCAGACCCAGTATACTAGTTTTTGAAGTTGCACTTAATGTTTTTATAACACTGAGTAAATTAGTCGGGTAAAATTTGTGTTACTTAGTAAGAGAGACCTAGACTGTGCTTGATACCAAAAATTTATTTTTTTTTTAGCATCTTTGACTCTTATATGTGAAATTTATTTTAAAAAATAATTTATAGGAATGCATCATTTGTGCAACCTTCAAATTATAATTTATTAAATTCTTATGCTGTATATGTATTTAATTAGTCTTAATATCATAATCCCTTTCATCATTAACAATGAAATAATAGGTTAAGAGTGTAGCCATGATTGATGTAACACTGTTGACAGTGTATATAACTACACAAGTTTAACCTTTTTAACCTGACTAAATAGTGTTTATTTTAGAATTTGCAAGTCTGTAATGTATTTTGTATACTGTGTGAAAGAATATTGCCTTACTAATATGTATTTTAATGTAACAAGAGTACACTTCTTTGCAGATCACATTTCCAGGTCATTATACAAATACCTGCTGTTCCCACCCACTCCACATCCCTCGAGAAACTATTGAAGAAAATGCCTGGGGCATCAGAAATGCTGCTCAGAGACGCCTAGAATTTGAGCTAGGAATCCCACCAGATCAGGCCAAGCCAGAAGCCTTTACATACCTTACTAGGATTCATTATGCAAGTCCATCAGATGGAATGTGGGGAGAACATGAGATGGACTACATTTTATTTCTAAAAGGAGATGTATCACTTCATCCAAATGAGAACGAGGTGCAAGATGTGAGATATGTGAAGCGAGAGAACTTTGATAACTTTTTATGTGGACTTCGGGAAAGTAGGATTCCCCTTACTCCATGGTTCCACCTTATTGCACAAAAGTTTCTACACTGTGGTGAAGAACTTGGACAACCTCGACAAGTATACAGATCATCACCAAATACATCGTATGTTAGATTAAGTTTTTATTAATTGGTCATACATTATATGAATCACTGCAATTAAAACATTGATCACTAAATCAAAAAAAGTTTGGTAAATGTTTTTCTAGTGCCTTACTAAAGTAAATTTATTCACATTGAAAGTCATACCATACTGTTGTATGTGTAAAGCTGAAGCTTATTACCCAGTATATTCACAAAAGTGTGAATATACTGCATTCAACAGTTGCACTTTGGAAGGATCACAGATCCTTGTTGTGAAATTATTATATTTATGAGGAAGTGCTAAAACCTATAAGGACCATACAGCACCTATGTACAGTAAGTACTATCATAATTTCTTGTGGGAATGCATGCTGTATGACCCTTGATTGTAATAATAATAATTGTGGGAATGCTGACAGCAATGTTGTTCCTGTTTAGTGACCAACACTGTTTTGCATCAATCCACATTTGGGCTTGTAGCTGTCCTCTTATCCCTGATGGTTGTAGGGAAGTACAGTGGAACCTCAAATATCAAACTGCTCCCAACTCAACCAGTTAAGTAAGTGTATTTTTGTAAATGCTGTTTTTTTTTTTTTTCCAACAAGTCGGCCGTCTCCCACCGAGGCAGGGTGACCCAAAAAAGAAAGAAAATCCCCAAAAAGAAAATACTTTCATCATCATTCAACACTTTCACCACACTCGCACATTATCACTGTTTTTGCAGAGGTGCTCAGAATACAACAGTCTAGAAGCATACACATATAAAGATACACAACATATCCCTCCAAACTGCCAATATCCCAAAACCCCTCCTTTAAAGTGCAGGCATTGTACTTCCCATTTCCAGGACTCAAGTCCGACTATATGAAATAACCGTTTTCCTGAATCCTTCACTAAATATTACCCTGCTCAACACTCCAACAAATCGTCAGGTCCCAAGTACTATTCGACTCCATTCACTCCTATTTAACCACCACGCACGCTTGCTGGAAGTCCAAGCCCCTTACCCACAAAACCTCCTTTACCCCCTCTCTCCAACCCTTTCGAGGACGACCCCTACCCCGCCTTCCTTCCCCTATAGATTTATATGCTTTCCATGTCATTCTACTTTGATCCATTCTCTCTAAATGACCAAACCACCTCAACAACCCCTCTTCTGCCCTCTGACTAATACTTTTATTAACTCCACACCTTCTCCTAATTTCCACACTCCGAATTTTCTGCATAATATTTACACCACACATTGCCCTTAAACAGGACATCTCCACTGCCTCCAACCGTCTCCTCGCTGCTGCATTTACCACCCAAGCTTCACACCCATATAAGAGTGTTGGTACTACTATACTTTCATACATTCCCTTCTTTGCCTCCATAGATAAATGCTGTTATAAGTGTATTTTTGAGGGTCTGAAATGAACTAATCTAATTTACATTATTCCTGATGGGAATAAATTTGTTCGGTAACGGCACTCGAACAGCCACCTGGAATGAAGAAAGTTCGATATTTGAGGTTCCCCTGTACTGGTATGTCTGTACAAGTACAATCCGACTTAGGAACAAGCTTGGTTCCGACCAACTGGTCATAAGTCCAGATAGACACAAGTCGAACCTTAGAAAATTGCCTACATACTATGTAGGGCATAATGTCAAACCTTTGCTATATAAAGTACCTATATAGTATCATATGTTACTTTTTACTAAATATTTTACTACTGTATATGCTGGTAGACATGTGCTACTTTTTACTAAACATTTTACTACTGTATATGCTGCCAGACGTATGGTCGTAAGTATGAGTGGTCGTATGTCGAGCAAGTCGTAAGTCAGATGGTACTTGTATTTCAATATACTACAATTCCCTGAATTAAGCCTGAATGCCTTCCATACCCTTCCCCCCTTCCCACAAGTGTTGTATAATCTCTAAAAGTTTAGCACTCCCTATGATAATAATAATAATGGATGTATGTATATTAGGTGTTAAACTTGCAAGTAATTACGTCAAAGCTTGCATAACAGCAATGCAAGAATTATCAGGATGACGATCTCTTTTCCAGATTGTTTCATTCATCAAAGCCTACCAGTTTCATATTGGATGCCTACTTCAACACCCTGAGGTGCTTGCTTTGACCATCCTGGTCTCACTTTTAATGCTGGCACTGATTTGTTGTCAACCATGTCCCCCATCCTTTTGACTGATGTCCTTCCCTCGCCGCCACCATTTCTCATTTCTGCCTTTTAGATACCCCCCCCTATCCCCTCACAAGGCTCCTTGATGCTGGTGAGGAGCCATGGCAGCAGAAAATTGGGTAAGCCATGTTGTCAGGGACATAAATGGAGGAAGTTTTATTATACTGTTTTCAAAATTAGAAGCAGAAGAGGTAGGCCACTGAGGCCAGTGCAGTAACTAGAATGGCTTTTACATGGGTGTATTACTGTATGCATATATGGGGAATATACCTGGAGGGTGTTCTGGGGATTAGCACCCCTGGAGCCCGGTCCATGACCAGGCCTCACAGTGGATCAGGGCCTGATCAACCAGGCTGTTACAGTTGGCTGCATGCAAACTGACATATGAACCACAGCCTGGTTGGTTGGGAACTGACTTTAGGTGTCTGTCCAGCTCCCTCTTGAAAGACAGCTGGAAGGCAGTTGAATAGTCTTGAGCCCCCTGACACTTAAGTGTTCTCTTATACTCAAGGCTGGGGGGAGGTTACACCGCCTGCTGAGGCTTTTGCTCTCCGTGTGCAGATTTGGAACTAGTTCCTCTTATAAGTTTTTGCAAGTGTGTATTATGTATCTTTCTCACCTGCATTCCAAGGAGTACAGATCAAGGGACTTCAACCATTCCCAATAATTTAGGTGCTTTATCATACTCATACATGCAGTGAAAGTTCTCTGTATTCTCCAGGTCTACAGTTTGCTTGCCTTGAAAGGGGCTGTTAGTGGTGATATTCCAGCCTAGAGAGAACAAGCAATTTGAAGAGAATCATTATTGGCTTAGCATCCGTAGTTTTGAAGGTTCTCATTATCCATCTTATCCGAGATCGCTTGAACTGTTGCATAAAAACGGGTATTAAGTCTGAAGTAACACATACAGAGTCTGTTTGGATAGAATTTTCAGAGGGGCATGAAAAACTGATTTTAGGAGTGATATACCGTCCCCCAAACTTAGATAGGGACCAAGGGAAACTACTATGGGAGGAAATTGTTAAGGCCACAAAGCACGATAATGTAGTAATTCTAGGAGACTTTAACTTTAGTCATGTTGATTGGAATTTCTTGACTGGGAATTTAGAATCATACGACTTCTTAGAAGTATTTCAGGATTGTTTTTTGAAGCAGTTTGTGACAGAACCTACAAGGGGAAATAACCTGCTTGACTTAGTTATGGCAAACAATGAATCCCTTGTTAATAATTTAGAAATTTCAGAGGAACTGGGTGCTAGCGACCACAAATCAATTACATTTAGCATTGAATGGAAGTACGATAGTAGCGATAACTCAGTAACAGTCCCAGATTTTCGCTTAGCAGATTACGAGGGGCTTAGAGAACACTTATCATCTGTTGACTGGGGTAACGAAGAGAGCTATCAATATGACAGTTTTTCTGAACACTATACATGCTGCTCAAAGAGCGTTTATCCCATATAAAGAAATTAGATCAAATAGAAATGACCCAAAATGGATGAATAATAGGCTCAAATATCTACTAGGGCATAAGAAAGGAATTTATAGGCGTATCAAAAGAGGTGAGGGTCATCTTATGAATCAGTATATTGACATTAAGAGGGACATTAAAAAGGGATAAGAAAAGCTAAAAGGGACTATGAAATTAAAGTTGCTAGGGATTCTAAAACTAACCCAAAAATTTTTTCCAGGTCTATAGAACAAAAGTTAGAGATAAGATAGGTCCCCTTAAAAATAACTATGGGCACCCTACTGACAATGAGAATGAAATTGCTTGATTTTAAATAATTATTTTCTCTCAGTTTTTACACAGGAAGACACTAACAATATTCCAGTAATTAATTTTTACAGTGGGCTAGAAGAAGATAAATTATGTAACATCACAGTCACTAGTGAGATGGTTGTGAGGCAGATAGACAGACTGAAGCGAAATAAGTCGCCGGGTCCTGATGAGGTTTTTTAAAGGGGTTTCTTAAGGAATGCAAAATGGAACTCTGTGAACCATTAACTAATATTTTTAATTTATCTCTTCAAACAGGTGTAGTGTCTGATATGTGGAAGATGGCTAATGTAACTCCTATTTTTAAAACAGGGACAAGTCGTTACCGTCAAATTACCGCCCAATAAGCCTGACCTCAATTGTAGGCAAATTACTAGAGTCAATTATAGCTGAGATTATAAGAAGCCATCTCGATAAGCATAGCTTGATTAATGATACTCAGCATGGATTCACAAGAGGCCGGGCTTGTCTAACTAATTTATTAACTTTCTTCAGTAAAGCTTTTGAGGCTGTTGACCACAATAAAGAATTTGATATTATTTACTTAGATTTTAGTAAGGCTTTTGATAGAGTTCCGCACCATAGACTGTTAAAGAAAGTGGCAGCTCATGGCATTGGGGGAAAAGTGCTCTCGTGGATCGAGTCATGGCTCACTGACAGGAAGCAGAGAGTGTCCATAAATGGGGTTAAATCCGAGTGGGGATCTGTAACAAGTGGCGTTCCACAGGTCACAGTCTTGGGCCCGTTGTTGTTTATAATATATATCAATGATCTTGATGAGGGAATTACTAGTGATATGAGCAAATTCGCCAATGACACAAAGATAGGTAGGATAATTGATTCAAACGTAGATGTTAGGGAACTTCAGGAGGATTTAAACAAACTCTATTCTTGGTCAGAAAAGTGGCAGATGCAGTTCAATGTAGATAAATGCAAGGTTCTGAAGCTTGGGAGTGCCCATAACCCTAGTACTTATAAATTAAATGATGTAGAACTTAGCCATACAGATTGCAAAAAGGACTTGGGGGTTATGGTGAGCAGCAACCTTAAACCAAGACAGCAATGCCTAAGCGTACGTAATAAGGCAAATAGATTACTGGGATTTATATCAAGAAGTGTAAGCAACAGAAGTCCAGAGGTCATACTGCAGCTTTATACATCATTAGTAAGGCCTCACCTAGATTATGCAGCTCATTCTGGTCTCCGTATTACAAAATGGACATAAATTCGTTAGAAAACATTCAGCGTAGGATGACTAAATTAATACATAGCATCAGAAATCTTCCTTATGAAGAAAGATTGAAGACTCTTAAGTTACATTCACTTGTTAGACAAAGAATGAGGGGAGACCTGATCGAAGTGTATAAGTGGAAGATAGGTATTAATAAAGGGATATTAATAAGGTCTTAAGGATGTCTCTCCAAGAGAGAACGCGCAGTAATGGATTTAAATTAGATAAGTTTAGATTTAGAAAGGACATAGGAAAGTATTGGTTTGGAAATAGGGTAGTTGATGAGTGGAACAGTCTACCTAGTTGGGTTATTGAGGCTAGACTTTGGGTAGTTTCAAATCTAGGTTGGATAAGTACATGAGTGGGAGGGGTTGGATTTGAGTGGGACTTTCACATCAGAGCTTATTTCTTGGTTGGCATTGAAAATTGGGTTGGGCAAATGTTTTGTTAGTGGGATGAATTGTAAAGGACCTGCCTAGTATGGGCCAGCAGGCCTCCTGCAGTGTTCCTCCTTTCTTATGTTCTTATGTTTTTCCTAGGGGATGTAGTCAAGACATTGTGACATTATCACTCCCAGGGCCTTCATATTAGTTTTTCGCTCTATTGTAGGGTTGGAATTTGTTTTATACTCTGATTCAATTTTTATTTCCTTGAGTTTTCCAGAGTGGAATAGTTGAAATTTTTCTTTTGGAACTTCACATTGTTTTCTTAGGCCCATTTAAAGACTTGGTTAATGTCCACTGGGAGATTTACATTGTCCTCGATGGAGACTTTTTTTTGATGGATGTGCTATTGGAGCATAAGCAAGGTAACTTTTATGAAGGGATCCAGGGAAACCAGTTAGCCAGACTGGAGTCCTGGAGGTGGGAAGAGTAGTCTCAACTCTGCAGGAGGGATAGGGATGTTGCAGTCAGAGGGGTAATCTGATTGTGTTCCAGTGTACTTTTGGGAAGATGGCAATTGAGTGAATGTGTATTCTAATGAGGGTTACCTTACCTTGGTAGATGGCCATTGTTAAAAAAAAAGGAAAGGGGGGGAGGGGAGTACTTTATAGTAGACAACACAGACTTGAATTGGAAAAATGATCACTAGAACAATTTAGGGAAGATGATTTGAATCATTTGCAGTTAAGGTTATAAGTATTGTCAGTGCAGATAGTGCCTTCTACATTTGATTTAATATTTTGCTAGAGGGTTGAAGCACTAGCACCTCACCCTTCACAGATGCCTGCAATCCAAAAGTTGGACCAATGGACATTGTTAATGGAGAGTAACTGTATGACCCCTGGGTTTATTACTTCTCTTGATTAAAATAATAAAAAAAAGACAGTGACAGCATGAATGATGGTGAAAGTGTTTCTTCTTTTTCTGGTCACCCTGCCACGGTGAGAGATGGCTGGTGTGTTAAAAAAAATAAGTAGACAGCACACAACTCACCATGAAACTGAGAAGAAATGGAGAAAAACCATACAGTCTATATTCATGTAAAAATGTTAAACTCGAAGGACTCGTACAACACTTGGGGGACTGGGAAATTATCAGCTCCACTCCAAGGAAGGGAAAGTGCTCTAATTCCTTGGATAAAAATCATGGAGTACTTCCACATGGAAGTGGGGAAGAGCAAACATGAATTGCCAGGCCTTCCCAAGGAGGGAGAGAAAAGCAAGATGCAGGGTGAACATACATGGAAGGTACATTGGGAAACCAAGAGAGAACAAATATGGAGAGAATATACACAGTACAATACAGAATAGTTTATAAGAGGTTACAGTTTTCAATAAATGAATACGATGTGATATATAACGATTTATTTATATAATGCCAGCGCACACTGAGGACAGCCAAGGTACTGGGAAAGATGAGATACAGATAAGGATTCATCATATATGAAGTAACATTTTTCTCAGTACAAAGAGCAGTGGATCTGATAATCAATAGAGTACAATCTTTAAAAGAGATCTATGGCACAAAGTTTCCCTACCAAATGCTTGACATTTCCAACAAGTCCCTGCCATATATGTATATTGTTGCTATAGTAGTAATTAAAAAAAAAAAAAAATCAGTATTTTAGGCAGGCACATCTGTAAATCATTGAGACCACGTTACAAGTGTCATTCATTTGCGATGATTTATATTCATAAAATATCTTGTAAGGTAGTCATATATTATTTTATGTCAAAGTACTGTATACCTGTATATCTATACAGGTACACAGAATATTATCTTAATTGGACGTTTTTGTTTAGCGATAGGCGTTTTTAAATTATGAAAAAAAATCTGAACAATAACATAGTGTTTCTAGTTTCGAAAAACTAGTATTACACTATTTTTTAACCTAAAATCTGGATTTTTTGTTGTTCAGATTTTGAGTAAAATCAGATTCAAAATTTTAGATAATGCTATTTTGTAAAATTACCAATAATACTAGCTAAAATAATTGTTTTAAAGAAATCGCTTTTAAGGAAATTAGAAAAATAATTTGGCAAATCTTTTTACCAATGTGTAAATTCCAAATTAGAGATTGCTATAGTGATGTGAAAATGAATACAAGCAGCAAGTACATAAGCACATGAATATTGAAAAAAATGAATCATAAATAAATGAAAATAAAATGATTAGCCAAAGATGTACTTATCAGAATTTTTTTAACGTTCTTGACTAGAGACTTTCCTGTAAAGGCACTGCTATAGTACAAGGCAGAGAGTTTAATATAAACAAATAATGGTAAAAAAAAAAAAAATAGTTAAATGTATGGAAAGTGAAACATTGATGTTACTTCAAAGTTGTGCAAATTAACATGTGAATGAGCACTGAATTTTTATAACTTTTACCCATATGCTGAATTTTAATCATTCCTTTTCACACTTATAAATCAATTTATGTCCACCCCTCCTTTTTTTTTTTTACCCCCATATATTTAATCTTGACCACTCCTTTATGTACCATACACTGGTATTTAATTCTGACAATTCCTGTTCATACTTGTATATACATATTGGACTGTACTGAAGGAGCTATGAGAGGGTTACTATTTTAACATACAGTAACTTGCCACCTGATGTATGAAAACAGGATCTGGGGATGAAGCACATTGTTTAAGCAATAGCATGGCTCCTTTACAGTGACACCTGAGCTTTAAAAATCCATGTACTTCAGCAAGAAAATATATTTTGATAAAATATTAATAACAATGAAATACATATAATACAATTACAACCATTACCACCAATAATAATAGCATTACCATTACAAATAATAAAAATTATAATAATAACCACAATATTAAATGAAAGTCCTGTAATTTCAGTTCTTAATCTCCATAAAAAAAAGGTTTTTACAAGTAAAAAATGGCATCCATTGAATTTTGGAAATGATTTAAACATGCTCTTAGCCTTTCTCAGATTTCAAACAAGCTTCTTCAAATCGATTATGCATTCTTTAATGTTGTTAAAAGGTATTCGCATTAGCTTTTATATGAATTAAAAATAATAATGTGCTTTAAGAGGAAGCAGATACTGTGGCTAAATACACAATGATTTTCTGAAAGTTGGTAATAAGAGTATTACCTGTACTATAACTATGGCTGCAGCACTGTGTGATTCGTAAGGGTTTAGTGCTTGTTTTTTGCATATAAGTAGAATAATTAAACTATAGCTGATAAGGGATTTCTCTTAATTCAGAACTAGGGCTAAGACAAAACATTCCTGATAACTTACTGTTGAAACAGTCTATTGCTACTTGGTGGCTTTCATGGCCATTACAACCCAGTTGATCTACAACAGCTTGCAGAATCTAGTGCATATTACACTTATTACCCGGTATATCAGAATGCAATAAGCCGTACATTGTTAACTTAAAATATTACATATCACAACTAATTAGCATACTGCATACTGAAAAATATTCAGTATATGTATAATTCAAGGTTATTCCCAGTTACCTAGCCAATTTACCAATAAAATACGAGACAAGGAACTGGTCAAGAAAACTCTACACTGAGCATTTTATACAACAGATATCAAAGCCCACTTTTTTTTTTTTTTACACAATACTTCAAGCTTTTTTAAAAAATAAAAATAAAAATGAGATCCTCATACATGTGCTACATCCCTAAACTGTTTAACTTCCATTGTAAATTCCCTGAAAAATAACTGGGCTAAAATAGATAGAAAAACAAAATTCATTATCAAAGATAATTAGTGTGTTCTCATAACAAATGGTATTAAAAACAATAATCGCAGAATTAGAAACATCTAACAACAGAAATAAGGTTAACATATGATGGCTGTCTACTGTATTTAGTCCAAAGCTTCTTCCACTTCTTTAACATTGATACCCTCTTCGTGATATGCAGCTTCGTGTTTGGCCAGGATACGGAGAAGAGGGCGAAGCTTCAACCACCACTGATTGACTGGAATACGGTGCTGCCAATCAGTCTGATGTTTCAACTCGATTACAGGCTGGAATCTGAAGAAGAAATCTCTTTTAATATATTATACTTAGATTTTTAGATTTCTTAAAATACTGATAAGTAACAATTTGTAACAAAACTTAAAACTGTTTAGGAAGATAATATTTTTTAACATCAGCAGCCTCCAACTACAGCAGGGTAACCCAAAAATATTCACAAAAGTTTGTAGACATGAAATTTCCCATAAAATTGACTACCTGATGACTAATAGTACTATTATACAATATATCTTCCAACATTCACATTTCTAGTATTTTGAGTGCTGTATGACCCTTGTCAGTTTAGTGCTTTCTTTGATTTTTTTTTTTTTTTTAACAAGTCGGCCGTCTCCCACCGAAGCAAGGTGACCCAAAAAGAAAGAAAATCCCCCAAAAGAAAATACTTTCATCATCATTCAACACTTTCACCTCACTCACACATAATCACTGTTTTTGCAGAGGTGCTCAGAATACAACAGTTTAGAAGCATATACATATAGATACACAACATATCCCTCCAAACTGCCAATATCCCAAACCCCTCCTTTAAAGTGCAGGCATTGTACTTCCCATTTCCAGGACTCAAGTCCGGTTATATAAAAATAACCGGTCTCCCTGAATCCCTTCACTAAATATTACCTTGCTCACACTCCAACAGCTCGTCAAGTCCCAAACTTCTTATTCTTTTTAGTAATCATTACAGGAAAAGGGGTTACTAGCCTATTGTTCCTGACATTTTAATTGACTTTTACAACATGCATGGCTTACAGAGGAAAGATTCTTATTCCACTTCCCCATGGATATAAAAAGAAAAGTAATGAGAACAAGAACTATTAAGATAAAATCAAGGAAAACTCAGATGAGTGTGTATAAATAAATGTGTACATGTATGTTGGTAGACAGCAACCACCCAGGGAAGTACTACCGTCCTGCCAGATGACTGTGAAACAAAAACCTGTAACTGTTTTGCATGATGGTAGGATTGCTGGTTTCTTTTTCTGTCTCATAAACACGCTAAGATAACAGGGATATCTTGCTACTCCTACTTACACTTTGGTCACACTTCACAGACACGCACATGCATATATATATATACATACATCTAGGTTTTTCTCCTTTTTCTAAATAGCTCTTGTTCTTTTTTATTTCTTCTATTGTCCATGGGGAAGTGGAAAAGAATCTTTCCTCCGTAAGCCATGCGTGTCGTATGAGGCGACTAAAATGCCGGGAGCAATGGGCTAGTAACCCCTTCTCCTGTATACAATTACTAAAAAAAGAGAAGAAGAAAAACTTTATAAAACTGGGTTGCTTAAATGTGCGTGGATGTAGTGCGGATGACAAGAAACAGATGATTGCTGATGTTATGAATGAAAAGAAGTTGGATGTCCTGGCCCTAAGCGAAACAAAGCTGAAGGGGTAGGAGAGTTTCAGTGGGGGAAATAAATGGGATTAAATCTGGAGTATCTGAGAGAGTTAGAGCAAAGGAAGGGGTAGCAGTAATGTTAAATGATCAGTTATGGAAGGAGAAAAGAGAATATGAATGTGTAAATTCAAGAATTATGTGGATTAAAGTAAAGGTTGGATGCGAGAAGTGGGTCATAATAAGCGTGTATGCACCTGGAGAAGAGAGGAATGCAGAGGAGAGAGAGAGATTTTGGGAGATGTTAAGTGAATGTATAGGAACCTTTGAACCAAGTGAGAGAGTAATTGTGGTAGGGGACTTGAATGCTAAAGTAGGAGAAACTTTTAGAGAGGGTGTGGTAGGTAAGTTTGGGGTGCCAGGTGTAAATGATAATGGGAGCCCTTTGATTGAACTTTGTATAGAAAGGGGTTTAGTTATAGGTAATACATATTTTAAGAAAAAGAGGATAAATAAGTATACACGATATGATGTAGGGCGAAATGACAGTAGTTTGTTGGATTATGTATTGGTAGATAAAAGACTGTTGAGTAGACTTCAGGATGTACATGTTTATAGAGGGGCCACAGATATATCAGATCACTTTCTAGTTGTAGCTACACTGAGAGTAAAAGGTAGATGGGATACAAGGAGAATAGAAGCATCAGGGAAGAGAGAGGTGAAGGTTTATAAACTAAAAGAGGAGGCAGTTAGGGTAAGATATAAACAGCTGTTGGAGGATGGATGGGCTGGTGAGAGCATGGGCAATGGGGTCGAAGAGGTATGGGGTAGGTTTAAAAATGTAGTGTTAGAGTGTTCAGCGGAAGTTTGTGGTTACAGGAGGGTGGGTGCAGGAGGGAAGAGGAGCGATTGGTGGAATGATGATGTAAAGAGAGTAGTAAGGAGAAAAAGTTAGCATATGAGAAGTTTTTACAAAGTAGAAGTGATGCAAGGAGGGAAGAGTATATGGAGAAAAAGAGAGAAGTTAAGAGAGTGGTGAAGCAATGTAAAAAGAGAGCAAATGAGAGAGTGGGTGAGATGTTATCAACAAATTTTGTTGAAAATAAGAAAAAGTTTTGGAGTGAGATTAACAAGTTAAGAAAGCCTAGAGAACAAATGGATTTGTCAGTTAAAAATAGGAGAGGAGAGTTATTAAATGGAGAGTTAGAGGTATTGGGAAGATGGAAGGAATATTTTGAGGAATTGTTAAATGTTGATGAAGATAGGGAAGCTGTGATTTCGTGTATAGGGCAAGGAGGAATAACATCTTGTAGGAGTGAGGAAGAGCCAGTTGTGAGTGTGGGGGAAGTTCGTGAGGCAGTAGGTAAAATGAAAGGGGGTAAGGCAGCCGGGATTGATGGGATAAAGATAGAAATGTTAAAAGCAGGTGGGGATATAGTTTTGGAGTGGTTGGTGCAATTATTTAATAAATGTATGGAAGAGGGTAAGGTACCTAGGGATTGGCAGAGAGCATGCATAGTTCCTTTGTATAAAGGCAAAGGGGATAAAAGAGAGTGCAAAAATTATAGGGGGATAAGTCTGTTGAGTGTACCTGGTAAAGTGTATGGTAGAGTTATAATTGAAAGAATTAAGAGTAAGACGGAGAATAGGATAGCAGATGAACAAGGAGGCTTTAGGAAAGGTAGGGGGTGTGTGGACCAGGTGTTTACAGTGAAACATATAAGTGAACAGTATTTAGATAAGGCTAAAGAGGTCTTTGTGGCATTTATGGATTTGGAAAAGGCGTATGACAGGGTGGATAGGGGGGCAATGTGGCAGATGTTGCAAGTGTATGGTGTAGGAGGTAGGTTACTGAAAGCAGTGAAGAGTTTTTACGAGGATAGTGAGGCCCAAGTTAGAGTATGTAGGAAAGAGGGAAATTTTTTCCCAGTAAAAGTAGGCCTTAGACAAGGATGTGTGATGTCACCGTGGTTGTTTAATATATTTATAGATGGGGTTGTAAGAGAAGTAAATGCGAAGGTCTTGGCAAGAGGCGTGGAGTTAAAAGATAAAGAATCACACACAAAGTGGGAGTTGTCACAGCTGCTCTTTGCTGATGACACTGTGCTCTTGGGAGATTCTGAAGAGAAGTTGCAGAGATTGGGTGGATGAATTTGGTAGGGTGTGCAAAAGAAGAAAATTAAAGGTGAATACAGGAAAGAGTAAGGTTATGAGGATAACAAAAAGATTAGGTGATGAAAGATTGAATATCAGATTGGAGGGAGAGAGTATGGAGGAGGTGAACGTATTCAGATATTTGGGAGTGGACGTGTCAGCGGATGGGTCTATGAAAGATGAGGTGAATCATAGAATTGATGAGGGAAAAAGAGTGAGTGGTGCACTTAGGAGTCTGTGGAGACAAAGAACTTTGTCCTTGGAGGCAAAGAGGGGAATGTATGAGAGTATAGTTTTACCCAACGCTCTTATATGGTGTGAAGCGTGGGTGATGAATGTTGCAGCGAGGAGAAGGCTGGAGGCAGTGGAGATGTCATGTCTGAGGGCAATGTGTGGTGTGAATATAATGCAGAGAATTCGTAGTTTGGAAGTTAGGAGGAGGTGCGGGATTACCAAAACTGTTGTCCAGAGGGCTGAGGAAGGGTTGTTGAGGTGGTTCGGACATGTAGAGAGAATGGAGCGAAACAGAATGACTTCAAGAGTGTATCAGTCTGTAGTGGAAGGAAGGCGGGGTAGGGGTCGGCCTAGGAAGGGTTGGAGGGAGGGGGTAAAGGAGGTTTTGTGTGCGAGGGGCTTGGACTTCCAGCAGGCATGCGTGAGCGTGTTTGATAGGAGTGAATGGAGGACAATGGTTTTTAATACTTGACGTGCTGTTGGAGTGTGAGCAAAGTAACATTTATGAAGGGATTCAGGGAAACCGGCAGGCCGGACTTGAGTCCTGGAGATGGGAAGTACAGTGCCTGCACTCTGAAGGAGGGGTGTTAATGTTGCAGTTTAAAAACTGTAGTGTAAAGCACCCTTCTGGCAAGACAGTGATGGAGTGAATGATGGTGAAAGTTTTTCTTTTTCGGGCCACCCTGCCTTGGTGGGAATCGGCCGGTGTGATAATAAAAAATAAAAAAAAAAAATGTATGTGTAGTGTGACCTAAGTGTAAGTAGAAGTAGGAAGATGTACCTGTAATCTTGCATATTTATGAGACAGACAAAAGACACCAGCAATAATACCATCATGTAAAACAATTACAGGCTTTCGTTTTACACTCACTTGGTAGGACGGTGCTGTATAGCCCTTGTGGCTTAGCGCTTTTTTTTATTATAATAATTGGCAGGACGGTAGTGCCTCCTGGGTGGTTGCTGTCTAATATTGTGATATTTGTATGTTACCAGCTTTCTTATTTCCTATAATACTTCATTACTTTAACAATAACAGTAAAGATAGGCACTTTTCCTGCAATTGGTAGATGTAAACTACTAACTACGGACTATATGATTTGGAGGGATATGAAAAAAGCTGCATCATGAAAGCTTGTAGGGCTGAGAGATGAGACGGCAGGTTCACAAATGGTGCTGCTCGTACAACTCAGCACTGCATGACCCTGATGGATTTAACGCTTAGTTCTGATTAAAATAATAATGTTCATACACCCATACCACAGAAGTTTCTTTTTTTTCTTTTTTTTTAACATGCTGGCTGTCTCCCACTGAGGCCAGGTGACCCAAAAAAGAAACACTTTCACCATTATTCACACTATCACTGTCTTGCCAGAAGCACAGATACGACAATTTAGATATCACTCTCAACAGAAGTGCTGGTTGTAAATTGTTCTAGTGTAAGTTCTGTGACAGTGGTTGTAGAGTTAGGCCTTCTATATGCATGGACTATGGTTAAGGTCCATGTCTATTCTTCTACCTACTACTAGTCCAGATAGACATATTATGACAAACATGAAAATATATAAAAGGTTTTCATATTTCACACAAACTCACACATAAGATCTCTTTTGGAGACCAAGTAATACAGCTGTCTGTGGCTCATCACAAAACACTGAGCCATCCTCACGATGATGGGCAAGCATCTGGTCTGTCAACCACGTGACTGTCTTGGCTGCCATCTTTGTGCCCATGTTACGGTCAAACACAGATGGAGAACCTCCTTGCTGCATGTGCCCTGAAATATTTTTTATACATCAGCTTTCAATTTAATATTCTTTTCTTAACCTGAATATGTTTTAATCTCAAATTACCATACATTACATTATTATTAATATTCACTCATTTAATCCTGTTATTTTATCACATTAGTAGTTATAAGTTTTTAAATAAAAACCAGTTCTGAAAAGTCTTAAGAAATAATTAGCTTTAAGGATATTGCATTCATTCAGTAACATCCAATAAGCCAATGTTTGTTTTTAAAGTATGTATTAGAGCATTAAAACACACCTGATTAACTTATTTGTTGCAACTCTCCATATAAGGTAGATATTTAAAAACTAGCATAAAAGATAATACAGTGGACCCCCGGTTAACGATATTTTTTTCATTCCAGAAGTATGTTCAGGTGCCAGTACTGACCGAATTTGTTCCCATAAGGAATATTGTGAAGTAGATTAGTCCATTTCAGACCCCCAAACATACACGTACAAACGCACTTACATAAATACACTTACATAATTGGTCGCATTGGGAGGTGATCGTTATGCGGGGGTCCACTGTACTGGTAAAATCCAATACACAAACTACATTATAAACTGAACAAAGACTTACCCAAGACATTTTTCCTGCAACTGAAGATGCCTTTACCTTCTTCAGAAAATAATCTAAAGATAAAATCAGTCGTGTAATTATCATTGGCATTCTCATTTCGTAAAACGAGGCCCCGCTGGACACCTTCAGCCATTTTGGCTGCCATGTGATAAACATCAAGCTGTAGTTCCTATAAAGTATCAAATAACATTTATGGTATCAAAACATATTGTAGTGGTAGGCTATTGACAAATGCTGTGGTATGTGGTATGGCTCTTTTTTACAACAGTATTTAATAAAATTTGATAGACTAAGAGTGTTTTTTCATAAAGAAGGAGACAGCCTTCTCCCCCCTGAGCAACAGAGGGATCCCAGCCCGTCAAATAAATTTCCACTGTTTTCACACAGACTATGAAGGATTTAATTTTCATGACTTTAAACCTTTTATTATGATCAATTTATAAACCCACCTGAATACCAAATTGTTCCTCATAGATGTAGGCAGCATCAGCACCTCCGGCAAGACCAGCCAGGGTTGCTAGGTAACCACAATATCCTCCCATAGTTTCCACAACAAACACACGGCGTTTAGTTCCCTGAGCAGACTGCCTAATTCTGTCACAAATCTGATGAAGAAATTTTAACATATAATTAATAATATTGATATTCACTAAGTTAATTTTCATAATGTATTACTAATTTCAAGAAAAAAAATTGCCAGAATGCACATGAATTCAATGACAATCTCATGACTAAGATAAAAAGACATATTTTGAAACGTTAATTACAGACAAGCCAGGTGCATGGCAAGACTTTACAGACAACTATGGTAAAAATTGACGCTGTACAGAATAAATTTTTTATTAGCAGCGGCTATGTGTATATAAAGATTTACTCTGCATACAGCATTTTTTTCACCAAGGATAATCAATAGTGCTAACCTCAGTGATTTCATTAAGAGCAGTATCACACCCTAGACTGAAGTCACTGCCTGGAACGTTGTTACTGATAGTAGAGGGGATGACAACCATGGGAATGCAGAATTCTGGGTACTTGCCACGGGCCTCATACAACTGCAGCAGTGCGTGATAAGCTTCAAAACCACCAACAATCAGCAGGGCGTGCATCTTGTACTCTCGCAGACGTGCAGCCACCTGTGATAATGATAAAAATAAATATGACAAGGATCAATCGTGTCAGCTAGCCAAAATATGAGGAATGAAAAGCTATCTTATCCCCATTAACTCATATAGGTATTACAATTATAATTTTCATGGATAGTTTCTGACCATATCAATATACAGTACTCTCAAAAGTAACAGAATATATACAGTAGAACCCCCCATATTTGCATACAGTCATACCCTGCTTTATGTCATTTCAGCCTATGTCAAGTTCACCTATACGCCACTTTTCTAGAGTAAACTTCAGTTCAGCAAACATTATGATGTCTGACTTTACATCACTCAGCAACTTCACCTACGTCAATTTTTTTTTTTTGTGTTTAGCATTCTTTAAAAAATATGACTAAAATGTGTTTTTAGTGTACTATCATGTTTTACGGTGTTTGTCATCATTTTAAAACATTTTTAAGGCATTATGTCTGGTTTACATCAAAAACTGGGTTATGTCATGGCTCTTGGAACCGATTAGTGATGTAGGACGGGGTATGACTGCAATCAGTTTCTGCAGTTTCTGTTATCTGCAGTTTACTGTGGCTCGAAAATAAGTCTTAATTTTGCTTAACAATGGCCACAAAGCACAAAAGTAGTGAGGATGTCAGTTGTTCAAAGTCGTGAAGTGCTTCCCATCAGTGAAAAAATGCCAATTCTTGACTTACAGTGCATAATTTATCAATTAAAGTTGATCATAGCTATGTATGTAAACGAAAAATGGCATATATATTACACGTATATAGGCTTTGCTACTATCCGCAGTTTAGGGTATCAGTGGTAGGTCTTGCAAGAACAAAAAAGGAAGAGTAAAAGAGAGAAACAACTTTCACAAACTTATTTAGCCCTTTAACTGTGGGAAGATTTTTGAAAAAAATAAAAAAAAAAAAAAATTCTAACAGATAAGAGTGTCTTTTTGAATAGAATAAGACTAAAATGAGCAAAATCTGATAAAAAGTTAACAATTATGGCATGTTGAATTTGGTGAAAAAATGATCACTAATCTTTAACAACAGTGAGTACCAGTAAGTCGGACACAGTTAAAGAGCTAAAAGAATCTATCGTGCATGCCACAGACCTGGTCAAAGTGCTTGTCGGGCAACGTGCGTTTGGTGCCCAGGAAGGCTCCACCCTGACCAACCCATCCTGTTACTTCAGTCCATGTCATTTCCTGGATCTGTTAGCAAAAGATACTGCTGAATTGCCAGTTTTATAAATGGGGCAAGTTAAAATATATACTATTTAAAGAGCTGACATTACATAAGAAAATTATTCAAGGAATGTCATCAAATGTTAAAAATAATAATAATGATACAGTATTAGTCTGATATAACGGACTAATAGGAATGAGGTATCTGTTATACTGGAACAATGTTAAAAGCAATAAAAAAAAGTGCACTAAAGCACCTTACTATATACCTAACACAGTATTATATATACAATTTACAGATATACTGCAATAAACATTAAAAACAAAGGAGTTAGAAGTGCAATTCAACCAGTAGATTTTGCCTATAATTTTAAAAGTCAGTTATATCAAGATCCATTATATTGAGGTTTTAATGTATAATATTAACATTAATAATAATAATAATAATGAAAAAAGACAGTGGAGGAAAAGGGAAAAAGAAGTAAAAAGAATGAATAACAGAAATACTGTAGTAATATTTATACGTAATTACACACATACATTGCCTTCCACAAGTCCGTCGATACCATCATGAATGCCATACACTGTGTCACCACAGTAGATACAGTTCCTCACAAACGACCGAATAGCAGCATTCATACCACACGCAGGAGCACCTATGTGCATCACTCCTAGATTGAAGCCTCCCTGAGAGCAAAAATTAGATTAACATATTTTTAACTGTTCATGATAAATCTAACAGGAACTACTGGCTTATATATAAATCACTGTTCCAACTTTAATGAACATTCAAAATTAAACCATGTAAAAATCTAAATTTTATGTGCAGTAAAATAAATATCCATTTTAACACAAACACTAAAACTACACTTTTTTGCATAGCATATCTGTTTTAATAATATATCAATACACTAGCGTACACACTGCATAGCAAAGTCTCCCTTATCTGGAAATTAGCTATGCAAAATTCTCAAGTATCAGATACGTATTTGCAATTTAGTTTTATATAATTTAATTTAAACTAGTCTGCACAAGCAGCTATAATACAACTTTCTATATAAACTTCCAAAGAAAAAAGCAAAACAGACACAGCCTAAACAAATTCAGTTTAACCAACTCCTACTTTCTTCACAGCTATTCATGATAGATCAACAGGCATAACACTGCCTTCTACATATATGCTGTAAATAATATGTATATCTTTTCTTCTTCTTTCAACAAACTGGCCGTATCCCACAGAGGCAGGATGACCCAAAAAGAAAGAAAATTCCATTTCCAGGACTCAGTCCAGCTAACCGGTTTCCCTGAATCCCTTCACAAAATATTACCCTACTCACACTCCAACAGCTTGTCAGGTCCCAAAAGCCATTCACTCCTAACACACACACATGCTTGCTGGAAGTCCATGCCCCTCGCCCTCAAAACCTCCTTTATCCCCTCCCTCCAACCTGTTCGAGGACAACCCCTACCCCGCCTTCCTTTCCCTACAGATTTATATTATCTCCAAGTCATTCTACTTTGATCCATTCTCTCAAAATGACCAAACCACCTAAACAACCCTTCTTCAGCCCTCTGACTAATACTTTTAGTAACTCCACACCTCCTCCTAATTTCCACACTCCGAATTCTCTGCATAATATTTACAAAACACAATGCCCTTAGACAGGATATCTTCACTGCTTCTAGCCACCTCCTCGCTGCAGCACTCGCAACCCAAGCTTCACACCCATACAAGAGTGTTGGTATCACTATACTTTCATACATTCCCTTCTTTGCCTCCATGGATAATGTTTTTTTGTCTCCACAGATACCTCAATACACCACTCCCCTATTTTCCTTTGTCAATTCTATGGTTAACCTCCTCCTTCATAATCCCATCCACTGACAAGTCAACTCCCAAATATCTGAAAACATTTACTTCTTCCGTACTCCCTCTCTCCAATGTGATATCCAATTTTTATTTATCTAAATCGTTTAGCCCTTAAATTGTCCAAACCTAGATCTACGTTCACGTGCATAGCACTCCAACCTTGATTTTCCCCATTTGAAAGCATGTAAAAAAAAGTAGATCTACGTTCGGAGCCTGCTGCACATCAACGTATATCCACGTTTGGATAGTTTAAGGGCTAATACCCTCACCTTACTCTTATCTATGCTCACTTTCAACTTTCTACCTTTACACACATACATACATACATACATATTTACACATATATGAATTTTTTCCAATCTTTTAACTTTACATGCAGTGATCTTATTTACAGGTGATATAATAACTAGCTCTTTTGACAAGCAATGATGGGAGACTCAAATAACCGAAAAGCCTCATACCCAGAACGGCCTCTTGTTATGTTTTCCAGATACAGGAAACTTCACTGCAGTGAAAAAGCCACTGTACATTAAATCTATATCATGCAAGAAATACTAAACATGAATAATCCTAAAAAAGAATTTCCACATACATTGTATCTGCTATTTTATTATGACAATTTAAAAACAAATACAATACAGGCAGTATGAGGAATTCAATACAGTATTTGTATGTATTGCAGATCATGGTGAAGCTGCAAAACAAGTAAACAGCTATACTGAAGTATGAAATACATTAAGCCGAAACAAAACTGATGTAGGAAAGCAATATGCAAAAAACATTGAGGAAAAATATCTATATAAAACACTTTCTGCAAAATGCTGAAAGAAAGAGGTTCATGGAAAGAGGATACATTCTGCAATAAGCTGAAAAGAAAGAGTTCCACAGAGATCAAAGTCTGTAACAAGCTGAAAGAAAATAGATGTGCGTAAGTAACTTTCTATGATATCCAGCTAGTAGTAAAATAGTGGAAGAAGTAATCTATGATATATGATGCAAATCTTGCTACCTAAGGCATCCATAATATTGTCTTATAAGCTCCTTATCTGAACTATAACAAGAGCAAAACTGTATATATAAAAAACACTCATTTCTTACCATGTAATAAAATTTAGATAGAATAGCACTATCTCAAAAGTTTTATGACATGAGAAATATTGTTTTTCTCCTCATGATAATACTGCATTTATAAAAAAGAATTCTATAAGTAAAATTTATGAAAATGAGGTAAAGTATATATTCAGTCAGCTCTATCTACTTACTGTATAAAGACAACCTTTTCAATCAATTTCAATTTAGGGACTTGATCAAAACTCAATAAACTAAAAAAAAAAAAAAAAAATATATAACCACTCATTCTACTGCACTATACACACTCCTTACTGTGACATGTTCTTGTATATAACTAACCAGGCTCACAGTAACTGCAATGAACCCCAACATGACTGAAAAATCTCATTAAAGAACCTCAAACGTTTAACCATCTGGCGAGTCTAAATATTAGATTAACTTTTTGGCATGTATATAATCAGACAAAAAAAAAGTGAAGTACAAACCAAGAAAACCAATGCATTAGTCATTAATTGCAAAGCAACGTCTAGTAAAAGTATCATTATGGGTTGAACAAACACAATTCGTATTATGCCTAAACCAACACTTTTTATTTTCACACTGAAATATTTAAGAAATTTTGAATGCTGAAACTCTGTGGAATCTGCTTCTTAGTGTAAATTTCTCTAAAATTTACCCTACAGTTTCTCTATTATATCTTGGACAAACAGTGAGCAGGTGCAGGGAAAGAGTATTGTGTCAAGACACCTGTACTATAAAAGCTACATATAGATTTTATAATGTGCTGGGAAGATATTCCTGGATACCTAAACCTAAATACTGTAATAAAAATTATACCATACTGTATAGTACATTATGTGTGTGTAATTTTATTTGTGAAAAAAAAAAAATTTATTTAAAAAATAAAAAAGTATTATGCAGGGTGATGTTTTGATGTAGAGTTGATGAGCACATGTTATATGCTGTCCACTTAACAAATGGCACCACCCTAGCCACTGTACAGTAAGTACCAAAAAGATTTTTAAGAAACAAAATCTACTGTAAAATGTATACAAGAAGCTGTAAATTCATTACCCTAAACAATCAAATAGTCAGTGGCCTAGCAATAAGCGGCTAGTGTTATATGTGTGAATGGTGAGCGGGATGCAATTCATTGTATTGTGAATACAACTGACTCAATTTTGGTGATTAGGATATTTTGGATAGTTTGGCCCATTCTGTTCTGTTTTAGTGCTTAGTAGAACTGACATCCAAAATTAATTTCCTAACTCCAAATTACAGGACAGCAACAAATGACAAAAAACTAACCAATTCAATTTAAGAATAATTTGGTTCTGTCACGTAAGAGAAAATATTGCCAAAGATATCAGGACATGATAAAATGAGACGTTTTTTTTAATACACTGGTAGTCTCTCACCGAGGAAGGGTGACCCAAAAAAAAGAAATACTCTCACCACCATTTACATTATCAATGTCTTGCTAGAGGCATGCAGATACAACAGTTTATATGTCCGTCTAAACAGCAAATACCCCAAACCCTTCCTTTAGAATACAAGCACTGTACTTCCCACCTCCAGGACATAAGTCCATCTAACAGGTGTTCCTAAATTCCTTCACACAATATTACCTTGTTCACATTCCAACAGTTCGTCAGTCCCAAAACCATTTGTCTCCTCTCACTCCTATCTAACACAAGAGTATCATCTTATATTACCAAGTATGTATAATGCTTTGGAAAACATGGTCTATTGTGGATGTAAGTCATACATTTAACTAGAATAATATAGGCAAATGGCACTTTGTCCAACTTTTCAGTCCCATGTGAATTAACTAAAAATCAAAATGATATATATACACCAAAAATGAATATATTTTGTGCATGAACTATATAATGTGTCATCATGAAGGCATAACATGAATCAATAAAATACTGAAAGTAACCAATGCCATGCAGTGTGAGTAAATACTGTACCTTGGGTACCATGCACATCTCAATGATCAGAGGAAATTATAAAAAAAAATTATACAAAAATGGGAAATTTTCAATATTTTGTTTTGCTAAACATGCATACCAACCAATCAATGTATGTAATTACAGTATAAAACTAGAAGAGAAGAGAAAAAGAATTTAATCTGCACCAGAGTCTTTACAAAAATAGTATAAGACAATGGCTCACAGATTTCCACATGAGCATAACAATTCCTTTTAAAGTATGACAAAATACAGTACATACAGCTCACTGAACTACTCAAATAGCAACCACTGAGAAATACTTGTATTTCATCCTGTTCTCCAAATTAAAGAGGGCATGGTGTTACCAACACTGTTTAACAGATCAGAGGATGCTCTGATTGACAGAGCATCCTGTGATATCTGATGAAAGCTGCCTATTTATATTATTTTGTTACTGACCTAAACTATGCATAAATGGAGGTAACTTTAGGTTAACCTAACCTATCCTAGCTAAGAGTAATCAAGGCAAATACACAAGTTTCGTCACTGTTTAGATTATATGGAAATCAATGCATTATGAATCATGCCAATACAAACTATCTGGGGAACAGGTTTTGCCTTTACCAATAAATTTTGGATTTACCACTCAATTTGGCTAAGTAGATATAATTCTCTCTTTGGGGTTATGTGTTTATGGCACATAACTGAAATAAAAGACATGTCTATGTTGTATAACCAATTTTTTTTAAAACACTGGCTGCCAGTTTCGGAACACTACATAATAATAGCATTTCGTCACTTCCTTGACTGTTGGAAATTAATAGAACTTTGAAGGAAATGTAGGAGAATGATCCAGTATGGCAGACAAGCCATCAGCATAAGACCAGTAAAGTAGAAAGCTCCACATTCTGAGCCAAAAGTGCAAAACAAATTATAAATTTACTGTTAAATAAGGGGATTTGTTAGATGGGTTAATTTTTTGTAATGTGCAAAGTTTAGGAACTGTACAAGTCGTTAAGGTTGTATAACACCTGCACATAAACCATCAAGAATACTTTAAACCCTAAAATCAGGATTACAATAAGCTTGGTGTATATACACTGATACACAAACACACCTCTCAGTGCATATACACCATTCAATTTGTCAGTGGTCACTACTAGATGATTCAATGAACTCCAACCACAAATATAATTACACTATAGTTCTATGCTAAAAAGTTTGAAATATTAAATTTAGTAGACAATAATAGTCAAGAAGAGAGCTATATTTAATTGCATCTGCTTCTCTAATGTATACCATCATATAATGTTAATTTAACTCCTGTGTTAACAGTGATGGTATGCAGACAACTGTCTTGACATTAAAATTTAACCTTATATTTATCATACTATTTTCCTACAAAATCAAATTAAGTTACAATAGCTCACCAAGTCACCTCTGTCCAAAACTGTGTTTTGCTGATGGAGTAAATGGTTCAAGGATAAAATAGTCTGCCAATAATGTTTAAAAGGCATGCATAAAAGGGACCTTAGTAAGTATAAAATGGGGTTAACATTTATAGATTAATAAAAAAGAAAAGTTCCACTGAAAATTTTAACAGCAAATAAGTCTTAAGTTGCATGTGAAAATTTACGGTTAAATACTTTTCAAAGAGTTGGAAAATTTAGTGAACATCATAAGATTCATTAAATATTCAATACTGCTTATCAATTGGTGGATACTCAAGAAATTTATAATATTACCATGAAATTCAGCATCAGTTTTCTGAAATTTGGGGGGAATTATTCAATTTCTTAAAAGTAAAAATGACTAATTAGAACTAATTAATAATACTCACCATTCTTTTCAATTACACCCAATTATGATGAGCTTACATAAATACAATAACTATAACAGATTAGCTTCAAGAAAGGTCATTTTTAAGCTGATTAAAAAACTTAATAGTGCATCAGGGCTAAAGTATTTTGATGTTACTTTATAACTTCAAAATAAATAATTTGTTTAAAAGAAAAAAAATATCCCCATTGAAATTAAAAAACTTTCTTTTTTGTAAAATTTAGGAGTATTAACTTTTCATCAAAACACACCTTGTAACAACTGCTAGTGAGAAAGTTGAGAGGAAAAGGAAAAAGCAAGGCTATAACATTTAGATTCAAGCTTTCTTCCATAGCTTATGTACAGTACACAACTTTGTAGACTCCTATTTCAAGAGGACAAATGCAAGGTGAAATAGCAACACCATTATTTCTTGTAGTAACTACAATAAAGCATTCCAGGTAAAAGGGTTAGGACATTAAAGCTCTGAAATATTCATTCAATAGCAGTTTGGCTGATGCAGCAAATTCTATTCTATCATCCAGGACTTGATTTCCTTTTAGTCTTTTGTAATTATTGAATGAATAAAACTGCAAAGTTGACAGGACAAAATGTGCTCTACAGAAGCCTAGAAAACAGCTACAAAGTGTTACCACAGGAGTACCTTTCCCTCTGGAGCCTCATCTGAATCAGACTACACAAAATATAAACCAAATGCGTTAGAAGTAATATTTATGTAAGCACAACTCCAATGATACTAGTTATTAGAATACTAAACAACGCAATCATACGAGGCATTGACAATAGTAAAGATGAACTTTATAGTAAAATGTTAGTAAAATATGCCTTAAAACAATTTATATTTTTTAATAAAATGGCCATCTCCCACCAAAGCACGATGACCCACCCAAGAATAATGAAATGCATTGCAGCACATTTTAAAAAAATAATTTATTTGTTTATTTTTATGAACATATATGCCATATTTATTTAGTGCATATCTTACCACATTTAAAACACTGGGTTCACCTTTTCTATTGGTAATGCCTCACACATAATCCTAAGAACTTAACTTTTCCAAGAAAATTGTATCTCCTACTAAATAAATCAGTACTTAATTAATCAACGAACAGCTTCAAAAATTATTTCCCAAATAGGGTTCTGGCTTGTAGTAGTTGTTGCTGGGTCTACAGTGGCTGCATCAATAATGTTGTTCCAAACAAGTGCTTAAAACCTTGCCTGCACACCATGGACTTAATTTTACATCACCATTTCATGATGAAAGTATACTGGCAACATCTTAGAAATTAATGCTATTGATATGTTGAATATAAAGTTGCTAAGAAATATATACCTTATCATTAAATCTTATAAAAGAGAGCCTTAAAGCTATTGTGTATTTTACTACAATAATTCCACAACAGTTGTGCTACATCTACATGGCAAATATCATCAAGATGGTACCTCATGGATTTATCTTAATTATATATTCATTACTAATTACTTAAAACATTATGTGCCATCTTACCCGGACCAGGACTGCCTGTGTGGGTCAAGGGAGAATAAAAAATGCACAATTAAAATTAGAAGACAATATTCAGGTAGACTTATATACTAATAGCCTAAAAACCTCGACACACTAAACCTGAAATAAATTACTATATATATATGTACTAGCAAGGGGGTAGTAACCCCTTCTCCTGTATATATTACTAAATGTAAAGGAGAAACTTTCGTTTTTCCTTTTGGGCCACCCCGCCTCGGTGGGATACGGTCAGTGTTGAAAGAAGAATATATATATATATATATATATACACATTTTTTTTAACAAGTTGGCTGTCTCCCACTGAGGCAGGGTGACCCAAAAAGAAAAAATACCCAAAAAGAAAATATTTTCATCATTCAACACTTTCACCTCACTTGTACATAATCACTGTTTTTGCAGAGGTGCCCAGAAATTCAACAGTTTAGAAGCATATACGTATAAAGATATACAATACATCCCTCCAAACTGCCAATATTCCAAACCCCTCCTTTAAAGTGCAGGCATTGTACTTCCCATTTCCAGGACTCAAGTCTGGTTATATAAAAATAACCGGTTTCCCTGAATCCTTTCACTATATATTACCCTGTTCACAATACAACAGCTTGTCAGGTCCCAAATACCATTTGTCTCCATTCACTCCTATCTAACATGCTCATGCATGCTTGTTGGAAGTCCAAGCCCCTCACCCACAAAACCTCCTTTACCCCCTCCCTCCAACCTTTTCGAGGACGACCCCTACCCCGCCTTCCTTCCCCTACAGATTTATATGCTCTCCATGTCATTCTACTTTGATCCATTCTCTCTAAGTGACCAAACCACCTCAACAACCCCTCTTCAGCCGTCTGACTAATACTTTTATTAACCCTTTCAGGGTCCACAGGCCCTCTCAGAGACTTGTTCTCAGGGTCCCCCAAATTTCAAAAAAAAAAAAATTATTTTTTTCTTATGAAAAGATAAGAGAATCTTTTCCCAATCATAATGACACCAAAATTATGAAATTTGATGGAAAACTTACGGAATTATGCTCTCACGAAGTTAGCGGTCTTGACGATGTTCATGCATCGGCGATTTTGCCCACTTTGAACCCTATTCTCGACCAATTCCAGTGTATTAGTCGACAAAAATCATAACTATTTCACTAGAACCCCATTTTTTCTATTGAATGAGTACAAAAAACCACCCATTTACCAATTTTAACTATCCAATACAGTGGTCAGAATTTAGCAATTTTGCCAATTTCACACAAATTTAAAAAGATGCCAATTTCCAAATAGGGTCCAGAATAAACAAGAAAGACATTCCTGGCACTAAAATAACATTTCCTGTGTTCATTAGTCACGTACCCACGCCCCTCTTACATTCTTTTGCGTTCCACTTTGACTTTTTATTCTCACAAAAAATAGATTTACTGTTATGCAGACTATTGCATTAGTGTAGAAATGGTATAAATAATATCGGCGCACTTGTGAAAGAATATTAGACTCACCAGTTGACGTGTATTGGACGCTTAGCATGATTTGTTTACTTTTGAACTTTGGTAAAAATTGAACATTTCTGCTACTTTGAGCTCAATTTCAAGGTACTTTTCATTGTAACACCAGTCAAAATCATCTCAATTTCTGTAATATGTCTTCCATTCTATAAAATGAGACCAGGAAAACTAGAATACAACAATAAACACCATACGAAAAAACAGCGCAATGTTGCTGTTTTAATCCAAAAACACGGTCAAAGTTTTTTTTTTCTCATTCCGCACTGTGTGCTGCAGGATTTTTTTTATACTGCGCACACTGACCACATAGACCCATTCTTTCATATATAGGCCTACCAGCTTTCTCTCACTAGATTTGAGGGCACTAAAATTTAGGCATACTAGTACGTCAAAAACCCTGGTGAGTAAGCTGTACTAGTATGTCCAAAACCATGAAAGGGTTAACTCCACACCTCCTAATTTCCACACTCCGAATTCTCTGCATAATATTTACACCACACATTGACCTTAGACAGGACATCTCCACCGCCTCCTCGCTGCAGCATTTGCAACCCAAGCTTCACACCCATATAAGAGTGCTGGTACCATTAAACTTTCATACATTCCCTTCTTTGCCTCCATAGATAATATTTTTTGTCTCCACATATACCTCAATGCACCACTCACCTTTTTTCCTTCGTCAATTCTATGGTTAACCTCATCCTTCATAAATCCATCCGCTGACATGTCAACTCCCAAATATCTGAAAAATTCACTTCTTCCATACTCCTCCTCTCCAATTTGATATCTAATTTTTCTTTATCTAAATCATTTGATACCCTCATCACCTTACTCTTTTCTATGTTCACTTTCAACTTTCAACCTTTACACACACTCCAAAGCTCGTCCACTAACCTTTGCAAATTTTCTTTAGAATCTCCCATAAGTACAGTATCATCAGCAAAAAGTAACTGTGCCAATTCCCATTTTGTATTTGAATCCCCATAATTTAATCCCATCCCTCTCCCCAGTACCCTAGCATTTACTTCTTTTACAACCCCATCTATAAATATATTAAACAACCATGGTGACATTACACATCCCTGTCTAAGACCTACTTTTATTGGGAAGTAGTCTCCCTCTCTTCTACACACCTTAACCTAAGCCTCACTATCCTCATAAAAACTATTTACTTACTACCAATTCCATCCTACTCTCTGTCTTACCTCTAATTCTTTTAATAACAACCCAACCGTACACTTTACCTGGTATACTGGTATACTTATTCCCCTATAATTTTTACAATATCTTTTGTCCCCTCTCCCTTTATATAAAGGAACTATACATGCTCACTGTCAATCCCTAGGTACCTTCCCCTCTTTCATACATTTTTCTTTTTTCAACAAGTCAGCCATCTCCCACCGAGGCAGGGTGACCCAAAAAGAAAGAAAATCTCCAAAAAAAAATACTTCCATCATCATTCAACACTTTCACCCCACACTTACACATAATCACTGTCTTTGCAGAGGCACCCAGATACAACAGTTTAGAAGCATATATAAAGATGTATAACATACCCCTCCAAACTGCCAATATCCCAAACCCCTCCTTTAAAGTGCAGCCATTGTACTTCCCATTTCCAGTACTCAAGTGCAGTTATATAAAAATAACCAGTTTCCCTGAATCCCTTCACTAAATATTACCCTGCTCACACTCCAACAGCTCATCAGGTCCCAAAAACTAATACATTTACATACATTTATTAAACAAAAATACGAACTACTCCAACACTATATCTCCCCCTGCTTTTAACATTTCTGTCTTGATCCAATCAGTTCCAGTTGCTTTATCCCCTTTCATTCTATGTAATGCCTCATGCACACCCCCCACGCTCACATCCTGCTCTTCTTCACCCCTAAAAAAAATTATGCCCCCCCCTGGCCAGTGAATGAAATTAATGCCTCCCTTTCTTCACTGACATTTAAAACTTCCTCTAAATGTTCCTGCCATCTACTCAATACCTTCAAGAAATTAAAGATAAGAGTACTGAATTTTTTTTTTTTCAACAAACCAACTTGTCAGTTCTCTGAACCATTCACCTACAAACCAGTCGTATCCCACCAAGGCAGGGTGGCCCAAAAAGAAACACGAAAGTTTCTCTTTTAAAATTTAGTAATTTATACAGGAGAAAGGGTTACTAGCCCCTTGCTCCTGGCATTTTAGTTGCCTCTTACAACATGCATGGCTTACGGAGGAAGAATTCTGTAGATAAGAGGAAATAAACAAGAACTAGAAAGAAAATAGAAGAAAACCCAGAAGGGTGTGTATATATATGCTTGTACATGCATGTGTAGTGTGACCTAAGTGTAAGTAGAAGTAGCAAGATATACCTGAAATCTTGCATGTTTATGAGACAGAAAAAAGACACCAGCAATCCTACCATCATGTAAAACAATTACAGGTTTCCACTTTACACTCACTTGGCAGGACGGTAGTACCTCCCTGGACGGTTGCTGTTTACCAACCTACTACCTATAAGTATTGAAATTTTCTTCTTCTTTCAACATACCAGCCGTATCCCACCGAGGTGGGGTGGCCCAAAAGAAAAAACTAAAGTTTCTCCTTTTAAATTTAGTAATATATACAGGAGAAGGGGTTACTAGCCCCTTGCTCCTGGCATTTTAGTCACCTCTTACGACACGCATGGCTTACAGAGGAAGAATTCTGTTCCACTTCCCCATGGAGATAAGAGGAAATAAACAAGAACAAGAATTAGAAAGAAAATAGAAGAAACCCCAGAGGGGTGTGTATATATATGCTTGTACATGTATGTGTAGTGTGACCTAAGTGTAAGTAGAAGTAGCAAGACTTACCTGTAATCTTGCATATTTATGAGACAGACAAAAGACACCAGCAATCCTACCATCAGGTAAAACAATTACAGGCTTTCGTTTTACACTCACTTGGCAGGACGGTAGTACCTTCCTGGACAGTTGCTGTTTACCAACCTACTACCTATAAGTATTGAAATACCTTACAAAATTCAGAGATAAAATAACTCAAAGTAGATATAATTACAAGTCTGATCATGGTAGGACAATCAAAGATACTTTGATCACATTAAGATGATCAAAGATATAGTCTGATCACATTAAGATGATCAAAGATATAGTCTGATCACATTAAAATGATCAAAGATATAGTCTGATCACATTAAGATGATTAAAGGCAGTATCACAAGATTCCAAACTCTGTAAATCTCACAACAAACAGTTTCATGAAATACAGCAAAGTATTGTTTTGTGTGGTAGATTATGGTCCTTAAAACTCCCACTGAAAGTTAACCTCCTAATAAATGTATAACTAACTGTTCCTCTGGCAGCTGGAAAGGTTAAGCAGTAACTACTGAGTGACAAGACCACTAGTACTACACATAAGCAGCTTAACACTCATTATCAAAAATATTTTAACCATGGTCATTTCCCACCATGGTAGGGTGAACATACGAAAGAAATTACATTCACCACCACTCATTTAATAGTTATAAATGTACAAAGCTGAAATACTACTACTTTCTTGCAAAGAATCCTCATTCTCACAGCTGGTCTTCATGAGTGGCATTAACATTACACTGCAGTAGACTGATTATTTAGAGTTATACCAGTACAGAACATACTATTCTTATAAGGACCTCTTTTTAACATGCAGCATTTCAGGCAAGTCATATTTTAATACAAATTTAAATAGGGCATGTTAATATGTACTGACTAAGTCATTAGATGCAATGGAAAGAACAATGTACTGGCATAAATATTTCCATAAAGTTTAAAAACTTTAATAAAAAATCATGTAAACATTTGTTATATACAAAACAAAATGTTAATGCTATATTATAAATACTTTTTCATTCTTAACATGTACACACTAACAGAGATTTACAGTATTAGAAGCAACTATTTATTTACAAGAATCCATTAATTAGTTTAATTTTTAGCACATCTGCTATTTCCCACCAAGTCTGGGTGACTAAGAAGCAAACACATTCACCATCATTCATGCTGTGGCTGTTTTTCCAGAAGTGCATAGACATCTGAATTTAAACGGTCCTTTGAATCACAATATCCCTGGCCATGCTTCAGGCACTGTAAATCTACATCCAAAACTCAGCCTGGAGTCAATGTTAAAACCACTAGCTACTGGATAATTTTTTCGATGTTAATTCTCATTAACTTTTGAAGGTTGTAATATTAGTTTGGTATACAGTCCATACCCCGGCCGGGATTGAACCCGCGGTCAGAGAGTCTCAAAACTCCAACCCGTCGTGTTAGCCACTAGACCAGCTAGCCACAATAAGGTTCGTCCAACTAGGTATATTTCTACACCATAGGAAGGTTAGCACAGGCACCACTGTGACCACAAATGCAAGTTTTTACTGTAAAAACTTGCATTTGTGGTCACAGTGGTGCCTGTGCTAACCTTCCTATGGTGTAGAAATATACCAAGTTGGACGAATCTTATTGTGGCTAGCTGGTCTAGTGGCTAACGTGACGGGCTGGAGTTCTGAGACTCTCTGACCACGGGTTCAATCCCGGCCGGGGTATGGTTTGTTTGCAAATCGTGTCATTACGATTTCGTGAGTCAGTTTGGTATACAGTATTAGTATGTGGGATTTGTATGTAGTGCCAAGGGTTATTAAAGCTTTTCAGATTATTCAAAACATATGCATAAATATACTGTATAAACATATTTTCCAAAGACCTCTCTACAATTAATTACACTTTGACATTACATATCCTTTACTTAGTTGAGTGCATTATTAAATTACTACTTCTTCTTACAGTAGAGTGCAGTACCATCCTTTTTTAATCTGGTCAACACTTAAGAATGGCTGTGTAACCAGTTATTTTTCTTAAAACATTGGTTATTCCCTATCAAAGGTTTTCTATATATATTTGTTTGTCCCATTTTTGCCAGGTTTCCAAATGAATTATGAACAGAAAGGTGATATTTACAGGTTCTAGTAGGGTATTGATGTCATAACTGTCTGTTAATTTAAAAGATATTGGCATTGTGATTTAGTGTAGTTATAAACCATACCCCCGGCCGGGATTGAACCCGCGGTCATAGAGTCTCAAAACTCCAGCCCGTCGCGTTAGCCACTAGACCAGCTAGCCACTATAAGACGGGCTGGAGTTTTGAGACTCTATGACCGCGGGTTCAATCCCGGCCGGGGGTATGGTTTATTTGCAATCGTGTCATTACGATTTCTTGAGTTAGTGTAGTTATACCCACTGTGATTTAATGTAGTTATACCCATGTTCTTCCCAAGGACATTTTTTTTTGCTAATGTTTGTAGAAGAGTACTTGCAGTTTGGAACAGCTGGGTGTTGGCTGGTGTAGGTGTCTGATACCAGGTCGAGTTCTGTACAAACATCAGTATGCACACAAAAAATAATTAATATGCAAAACTTTTGACTAAGAATGAACAATGAAGGAATAGTTGGATTCAAGATGGCACTAAAGCATACTAAAAAGTTGCATATTGCACTAAATGAGCTACTGCAGAGAGGTACAAAGCACTTGCCAGTGGCATTAAGGTAAGAAGGGTGAAAGAGAGTTAACTGAAAGATGCATAAAAGTTAGAAGAATTTAGTTTCTAATCTCAGTTTACTTCATACTTTCTACCTGTGAACATTTATGATAGTTTCAACTTGTGAATATATATGATGGCTTCTACCTGTGATCAATTATGACGGTTTCTACCTGTGAACATTTATGATGGTTTCTACCTATGATCAATTATGATGGTTTCTACCTGTGAACATTAATGGTTTCAACTTGTGAACATATATGATGGTTTCTACCTGTGAACATTTATGATAGTTTCTACCTGTGAATATTCATTAGTACAGCACTAATTTGTTCATGTGTGAAGTACTTTTCATTTGAATATACTGTGTTTTATGTATATATAATCATATACATTTTTGGAATATAATTTTAGTATTATTCCTAAAGAATGCTCAAAGTGTATTTCACAATTTATATGTTTTCCATATAAAAAATCTTTTGTAACAAAAATGTAGCTTCTTGGAAATGACATGATTATGAATAAATAATAGGTGTTACATAAATACTTAAAAGAATTTTTAACCCTAAATTAGAATTGGTTTAGGAGACAAATGCAAAAATGGGAGATATTGTTGAGTGGAAAACAAACTAAGAAATTCAGAAGTATAATTTTATGCTAAAACTGTGCCTATTTTATTTCACTATTTGTTTGCCTTTTTCCAGTCTGATAGTTAAGCACAAATATCAAGCCTGAGAGCTGACCACATTTAATCCTCCCAAATTTCCCTCCTTTATAGCCCAGTATTTTTAGGAATAATGTGACAGGTTCACATATTTCCTGGATAATAACAGAGAGGTTACAGTCATTTTTTTCCTCCTCTACTGAAGATATGTAAAGGAATTGATAAACAGATTGCATTCTTTGGTGCACTTTAAGCAAAATGGTAAATTATAAAGAAAAGAAATACTTGGGATACACATCTGTTCTATATCATTAAATGGGTTATAATATTCAACTGGGAACATTTTTAATAACAATGTGATGAGACCAGATTGAGAACTGTGGAAGCCCCAGGGCAACAGCCTTGTGGAGGCCTACTTACATTAAAATACTGTTAATTACATATTGGTGTTATTATATAACATGTCAACCAGCTATGCATCTGGTTTCCATACAGATGATGAAAATTATTTGAAGAGAAATCATTTGAAAAGCATCAGTCTACCCACAACCCTTTTTGTGGGGCCACCTTTCGTGTAGGGTGAAGGCCCCTTTAATCTGGCAATGGCATTAATAAGTGCCCAACTCAATTATCAATGTTCATTTATTTTAATTATCTGGAAATAAATCCTACTTTGAAAATAAAAATTTAAGGCTAATGATTCCAACCAAAAAAGCCTCTTATTGTCAATTAATTTAGTTGAATTTGAAATATATTTTATGTCATACCTTTCCTCCTTCAATGACCTTTGGAGGCTTCAATCTTGTCAGCATTTTGTAGGTGTCAAGGTTACGGGCAAAACTCCTTCCTCGCATCTGGACAGCATCATCCCATCTGTGATCCTGATGTCAAGCAAAACAAGTTATATGAAGAAAACATTTTCACTCAAATGAAGAAATCAAGTTTACAAAACAATAGAACTATGTGGTTAATCAGTGCTTTTAACTTAAATTACAAATATTAAAAATGTACTGCCATCATTACTATTTGCATGTTGTAAGAGGCAACTAAAATGATAGGAGCAAGGGGCTAGTAACCCCTTCTCCTGTATATATTACTAAATGTAAAAGGAGAAGCTTTCGTTTTTCCTTTTGGGCCACCCCGCCTCGGTGGGATACGGCCGGTGTGTTGAAAGAAAGATTAATTTATGTAGAAACTTGGCATTACAGTCAGAAGCATGTCTGCAATAAATAATGCAATACACAAGGTCCCTCACTTACGACTAATGAGTCCCTGAAAAATCATTCATTAAATAACTGTACCTGCAAAGCCCGAGCAACAGCTTGAGTCTTGAGGACACAGCCCATCAGAGGCACACGCACTGCTTGGTTACCGTCAAGTGAGATGACGCATGGCTCCGTCTCTGGGGTAGCTTCCATGAGGGCAAGAACAGCCTCTGCACCCATACGGCAACCCTGCAAATGCACCAGTCAGTTTTAATTTGCACAGAAAACATGCAATCACAACTGCAAGAAGAATGATATGGCAAGATAAAAAAAATCTTCAAAATGAAGGATGCCAAGTTAATGATTGTAGTACTGTTTTTAAGTCACATGAATTCTCTAGGCAGGAATATTGCTGTTCACTCACTCTGCTACAGGTCCAGACTCCTGGAATTATATATACATCAAGAACTGCAAGAAACCAATATTTTATTCTTCAAATATTCTATGGAGAAGGAGCCAGGACAGAGAAATCATCCTAATCAATATCAACCACTGATATAGCCATGTTCCACATAGGTGGCATTAAAGAATTGAAAAACAATAAAGACTGACAGCACTAACATCCAATATCTTTAAAATCTTTTGAAAGTTTTGAGAAGCAAGACTGCTAGCCATAATGACTAATGACATTTGTACAACCCAGTGCAACATGGGCTAAGAGCAGGTTGCTCCTGCCTCTCCAGCTGCTGAATCATTATGACATGGTCTTGGATGAACTAGAAGACAAGTTAAATGCAAGTGTAGTGTACAAAGATTTTAAGTGGGCAGATGAATAGTTAACTTCCTAACAGAGAGAACCCATTGTATAATAGTGAATAGACTGGACTCATAGGCTGCCAAAGTGAAAAGCTGTTACCCAAGAACAGTCCTTACCCCTATTTTCTTTCACATTCTCATATCCTATATAGACGAAGGCAAATTATACTACAGTATTTTTCTTATCAGACAATATTAGAATTTGCATGAGAGTGGCATCCATTGAGGACATAGGAAACCTTCAAGCTGATCTGATAAAAACAAGTCTTTCAATGGGCCACTGAAAACATGCTGTTCAATGAGGACATTTCAATTACTCCACTATGGAAAAATTGAAGAGTATAAACAAACCTGAACAATTCATTAGACTGAAAAACTAAGGATTAAGGAGTGATAATATAAAAAGATCTCACTTTCAAGGATCATAAGTGTCATTATCACCACTGCAAGGAAAATGATAGGCTGGATAACAAGAACCTTCAAAACAAGGGAGGCTAAGCCAATGATGATACTCTTAGTCACTTGTTCTCTTTAGGCTGGAATATTGCTGTACAAAACAGCCCCTTTTAAGGCCAGCAAAACTGGTCTGAGACCAAGCCACACAGGTGTCAACTCCCAAAACCATCTCCAGGTAAACTCCAGGTACACTAACAGCATCACCAAGGCAGCTAAAAATGCAAATCAAGATAATGTACTGAAAACTTTCTCTGCCTACATCTATACATTATATCTTAAAGTAGGCCTTTAAAAACAATTACATGCATAGTAAAAAGTGCTAAAATATATACGCATGAAATAAGTTGGTTATCAATATCCATCATAACAGGTTTTATCGTAAAAAACACTTACCAAAAGTCGGTCAAATGCAGAGGGAGAGCCACCACGCTGAACGTGACCAAGAACAGTCACACGAGTATCAAAGCCGAGCTTGTCAACAATGACCTGAAATAAAATGAGCAATTCAAAAAATTCTGCATCAAACAAGTCAGGTGATATTTTTTCCTGACAAATATACCAACACCAAAGTGAATTTAGGTCACTGTATCTTTACTCACGAAGGTAATGGGTTCTCACTTTTTTAACCCCTTCAGCGGTGATAGGCACATCCTGCTGATCAATAGCTCCTTCAGCAACAATGATAATATTCAAACGTTGACCCATAGATCTTTCCTGGAAAGGAATAAATAAATAAACTTCATACTCACTGACAAAATATAAATTTATGTAACCTCCAGTTTCCAAAAATATCAATTTTGCAACTTTCTTTAATAATATTCCCATGATTCTTACTATTCTATAATTGTCCAGTGTATTAAAAAAAAGTCAAGCTTTATAAAATGCTTAAAAAAATATTCTGCCATGTAAAAAATGTTAGTAAAGAAAAAAGCAGTGAGAAATAGCCCTTCCATGAAATGAGAATAAATGTGATTTATTAATCAGGCAATAAAAAATCAAAAGCAGTAAAAAGCAATATCATGATCAGCATTACTTACAACTAGTACAAAAATCAGCTCTGCACAATGCAATCCCTTAAAGAGGAATGCATTCATATTTATTTTAAATTAAGAGTATAATCTGCTATGTGAAAATCCAGTAGGAGCAACCCATGAAAACTAATTTGCTAAAAACCTGTTCTTTTTTTTTTTTTTTTTTTTCAACAAGTCGGTCGTCTCCCACCTAGACCTAGAAATATACTAAACAAATATACATGAAACATCCATAAAACTAACAAAACTAATAACAAGAAACAAAATTATGACACTAAAGCCAAGAGAGAAAACAAAATTTGTCTGAACGAGAAAACTTGAGTATTTTTTAAATTTAAACTAGTTTGTGAAGATCACTTGATGTAGAATTTTACTCAAACATTTTGAATGCCCTGGAGCATTGCCTTGTAGAGCATCCATAACATTTGCTACAGGCTTTCCCATATTTATGTTATTATGTGAGGAAACAATTATTTGCCAAGGCACTGGGAGTAAATAAATTCCCCCAAACTTCATGCCCATTAGGTAAGTTGCTGTTAAAAAGACATACATCTTAGTGTTAGGATAGATATCCTTAAGTCTGTCTGGCTATATATTTTTTTTTTTACTTAGAAAAATACTCAAAACTGTTGTTCTAAATTTCTTGTTAATACGCTGGCTGTCTCCCAATGAAGCAGTGTCCCGAAGGAAAGGAACACTTTCACCATCATTCACACTATCATACAAGGTAGAAAAAAGGTAAATACTGAATTTTAGCATATACTGTATTTGCAATATGATGGTGGATCTTTTAAAAGCAATGTGTTAATTAATTAGAAAGATAATACTCAGAGGAGTGAGGATGCACACAAGAGAACACAAGTAGAGTAAGCTACCAAAATTTGCAGTTTAATAAACTACATCTTTTGGCTAAAAAATTATTTGAAGCAGTTTTTTGAGAAGCAAATCAGCAAAGAAGAAATTCAATACTTTATACTTAAATTATTTTTAATAACTTTAATATTAAATATATAGCACCTGTATTACATTCTACACAGTTTGAAGCTCAGAAACAGAAAGGCACATTTGCCCTGGTGATAAGAGGTTTTATATTTTTCAGGGAAAAGCATCTGACTGGGTTTTAGACAGATGACAACTTGCTTAATGATAAACTATCATTGTCATACTCATGCTAGGGATCAACTACTTAAAAAAAAAAGAATCATATTAAGAGGATAATAATACGGTTTAACTGCGAGCGTATGAAATTTGGCTCTTGGAAGTCAGTTATGCTGTGTTAGTTTTCTACAAGAGCAAGACACTGAAAAAGAGAACAGTTTCTTCTGAAAGCTTCAGCTCTTTGGGGAGAGCCAGTATCAATAGTTAATGCTCACTCAAATTGAGTGCTCTTCAAATTCTGGATACTCAACTGAAATAACTTCAGTATATTGCAGACTAAACTTTCACTCAAAAGAGTTTGAATGTTGGTACTGTACAGGTGTGTATACAAGTATAGTTACACAGTGACCTCCTACATTTCATTGAGCCAGGGAACAAAGAAACACGGAGGAGTCAGAAGTTGCCTGTTCTTTTTCCTCAAGTCACTGCCTGTAATGTGTGCAAGCTAATGACCTCACTGACCTAAAATATGCCTTCAACAGTGCATATTATGAACTTTACAATAAATACTATTAAAGTAAGTACTAGCCAAGAAAGTACCTCACTGTGTAAATCAGATTTTTCACACAGCATATAATACAACAGAAGGCTCCAGATTCACAAATGCCTGAGTTATGAATAACATAACTTACAAAGAAGACTGATAATGAGTACTTAAAGAAATAATTTACACATGCCTATCCATGGTTATAAGCAAGTGTGATAGAGCCATTTTTTTTTTTTTTCAACAAGTCGGCCGTCTCCCACCGAGGCAGGGTGACCCAAAAAAGAAAGAAAATCCCCAAAAAGAAAATACTTTCAACATCATTCAACACTTTCACCACACTCGCACATTATCACTGTTTTTGCAGAGGTGCTCAGAATACAACAGTTTAGAAGCACACACATATAAAGATACACAACATATCCCTCCAAACTGCCAATATCCCAAACCCCTCCTTTAAAGTGCAGGCATTGTACTTCCCATTTCCATCTTTGTGTTATTTTTCTTACAAGTAAATAGGTTTCAAGTTACAAACAACTTATTTGTAATATGGAAAAATTAGGAATAAAACTCACTTGTTATCCAAGAGATCCACTGTACTGTTCAAATTAGTACCCAATAGACATTTCACTTCTCTTCCAAGCAATATTTAACTAAGATGCTTGCACTGTCAATTAGCTATTTACCATAAAATGAGTGTGAGCAGGGTAATATTTAGTGAAGGGATTCAGGGAAACCGGTTATTTTCATATAGTCGGACTTGAGTCCTGGAAATGGGAAGTACAATGCCTGCACTTTAAAGGAGGGGTTTGGGATATTGGCAGTTTGGAGGGATATGTTGTGTATCTTTATATGTGTATGCTTCTAAACTGTTGTATTCTGAGCACCTCTGCAAAAACAGTGATAATGTGCGAGTGTGGTGAAAGTGTTGAATGATGATGAAAGTATTTTCTTTTTGGGGATTTTCTTTCTTTTTTGGGTCACCCTGCCTCGGTGGGGGATGGCTGACTTGTTGAAAAAAAAAAAATAATATTATTATAATAATATAGAAGTAATTTTTTAACACACCGGCTGTCTCCCAAAGAGGTAGGGTGACCCAATAAAGAAGAAAAACTTTCACTCTCTGTTGTGCCAGAGGTGTGCCAATAATAATGTGGAGTTACTAAAAGTATTAGTCAGAGAGCTGAAGAGGAGTTGTTGAGGTGGTTTGGTTATTTAGAGAATGGATCAAAGTAGAATGACTTGGAGAGCGTATAAATTTGTAGGGAAAGGAAGGTGGGGTAGGGGTCATCCTCAAAAAGGTTGAAGGGAGGGGTTAAAGGAGGTTTTGTGGGTGAGGGGCTTGGATTTCCAGCAAGCATGTGTGAGCGTGTTAGACAGGAGTAAATGGAGACGAAAGATTTTTGGGACCTGATGAGCTGTTGGAGTGTTAGCAGCCAAAACAGGGTGCCAGTGCCTATTCAGTTCAACCACAGAAGGGTGCCAGGGCCCCTTCAGTTCAACAGAAGGGATTCAGGGAAATCATTAGCTGGACTCAAGTCCTGGAGGTGGGAAGTACAATGCCTGCACTTTAAAGGAGGGGTTTAGAATATTGGCTGTTTGAAGTAACATCCAAACTATTGTATCTGAGTGCCTCTGCAGAGACAGTGATTGTGTGTGAATGATGGTGATTTTTTTTTTTTTTTTTTTGGGTCACCCTGCCTCAATGGGTGATGACTGATGTATTTGGAGGGATATGTTGTGTATCTTCATACGTATATGCTTCTGAGCTGTTGTATTCTGGGCACCTCTGCTAAAAACAGTGATTATGTGTGAGGTGAGGTGAAAGTGTTGAATGATGATGAAAATATTTTCTTTTTGGGATTTTCTTTCTTTTTAGGTCACCCCGCCTCGGTGGGAGACAGCCGACTTGTTAAAAAAAACAAAAACAAAAAAAATCCAATGTAATTTTGAATGCTTAGATATTGTCACTATGCAAACATCCCACAGGAAGAGTACACCTCTTCAACAAGGAATCAGCCTTACCTATAGTACAGAATTTTAAAAAATCAACACATGCCTTCTTTTTCAGTTCCAACAGTTGGCACATACCTCAATAGAATCCTTTTTTGTAAATATCTTTCAATTATCACTAACCATTAATTAATGTTCTGATGTAAGTGTTAGTCAACACACACATTAAACAAATTAAGGTGTTAGGTGTTACTCCACTTCACTATACTCTACCATCACTAACTACTACCGCCTCAATGGCAAATATATACTGTACTCTACCTGGCAGTAGACGAAGGTAGTAATGGCATTAATACACAATTCTGCAGACTTTAAGCAGTTATAGTATCATTTTGCAGGAAAAAAATTCTTTACACTTTTTCCCAGCAGTTTAAAGGTTAATCATTTACTTCTCATTTCACAATTATAATGCACCAAAAGTTTATAATTAAAAATTTAAAGATCTTAAATTATTAACATTACCGATTCTAACTTCTGGCACAGAAGATCAGGCCAGTCATGAACAGGTGGAGACTCAGGAATGAACATGTAGTCTGCTTCACAGGCAAGGCTAGCAGAAACACTCAGATAGCTAAAGAGTTAAGGTGAATGGTATTTCAGGGTAAATATTGTGTATGTTGCGCAGCCAATTCATTCATTAATTTAATTTGCAGTTAGCAGATTATTGATGCAATATTTTAGTTTTAAAAATATCAGATACAAAATTTTGAAAAGGAAAGATTGAAGTGTAGTGTGTTTTATGTTAGCAAGGGTGATATTAAGGAAGGAGTGGAGAAGAAAAAATTACACATGAACTAAGAACTAAAATAAATTAAAAATAAAAGTCTAAACAAAATTGGACCTACTCCTGAAAAAAAAAAAAAATCATATACTGAACAGCAGGGCCCCATCTTACGACGTTTATGTAATCCTGAAAATTTAGCATAAATCGATTGTTTGGTACATGGAACCTATTTTCCCAAAGAAACCCATCTCATAATTTGAGATTCATTCTGGAGCTGTAATATGTATTATATAACAAATTTCAGAGAATTTTTACCCAATTTTTTACATTCAGTATTATTCTTTTTTCTTTACAAATAGTAAATGCATTGTTTAATTAAATGAAGCTCATTCAGATATCAATATTCTACCACTATCAGTAAACCACCCTCATGGAAGAAGGGGATAATTATGGAAGCACCTCACCTATGGATTACAGGCCACATCCATGGATTGCAGAAACGTTAGTGCATGGCCAGATGTGGTTATGTAAGCATCTACCTTCTGTGGCCCGGTGGCCTGGTGGCTAAAGCTCCCGCTTCACACACGGAGGGCCCGGGTTCAATTCCCGGCGGGTGGAAACATTTCGACACGTTTCCTTACACCTGTTGTCCTGTTCACCTAGCAGTAAATAGGTACCTGGGTGTTAGTCGACTGGTGTGGGTCGCATCCTGGGGGACAAGATTGAGGACCCCAATGGAAATAAGTTAGACAGTCCTCGATGACGCACTGACTTTCTTGGGTTATCCTGGGTGGCTAACCCTCCGGGGTTAAAAATCCGAACGAAATCTTATCTTATCTTATCTTATTTATTTATTTATAGAGTCATATCACAGAATTTGGAATATAATGTAGATAGCATGTAATTATGCAACTTGGGAAAATGCAATGCTATGTAAAAATGCAATGCACATACAGAGCCCGAAGATCTGGAACTCTTTGCCTGAACCAGCAAGTCAATTTAGGACTATACTTAGAAATCATCTCATCTCTCAATAATAACCATACCCACACTATGCTAATCTCTAACTAAATTTGAAGCAACTCTTCCAAATATTTTATTATCAATTATCTATTAAACTATTATTACAAACCTAAAAATGCATGCTTGTATCATAAATTGTACTAACTCGTATTAATATTTGAGTAAATGTATTGAATATTTGAAGTATGTCTAGACTTAAGTATGTAGTTTTCAAGTATTACGTTAAGTCTGCCTGAAATGCCTCGGCATGAGAGTGGCTTTCTTTATAACAATCAAATTATGAAATGTAAACACACACTGTAACCTTTGCAAAGAAATAAACTTTCGTTTTTTATTTTAATTTTGGAAAGTGAAAAATATCAAATACTGTTTACATACAACACCCTCCACATAATGGAGGGTGTTGTATGTAAACAGTTTCTGACAGGTAGGAGCGGGTGGCAGGTAACAGCAATTGCAAAGGATAAAAAAATTATTTTCTCATGACTGGAACAATAATGGACAATTCTGTAACTAATGGGCTTTGTCTCTTGTTTCCAAATGAATGATCCAGCAGATTTTTGCTCTCTATTTATGGTTTATGACTTTTTTAATATAATATTCTGAAATGAAAGTTGCCATAATTTTATAAAAAATTAAAATAGCCACAAATAAAACTTTGTTTTCTACATTTTCAAGTAGAGGGCATTCTAGCAAATATTGTCAGCTGGAATGCATTTTGCAAAAACAGCTTAGAAAAAGTAATACTGATAATTTAGCCTTGGGGAAAATCTTAAGTATTAAATCTCTTGGTCTTGATCAATCTCCACCTTAATGTATTCATAAAGTATATACACACAAAGTATACATTCAGTACAAAGCTGAATATTTAAAATATTTTCTATTACGAAATTTCCATGATCATGACTATAGAACAGTGTTCATCAATAATTAACTGCTCCAAAGTGCCAGTTCCATTAAGTCTGAACATTGTAAGTTAGGGCTCTACTGTAAGTGATTGTCTTGTAATTTTTTAAATCATTTTATCAGCATGCATGTGCAAACTACCCATTTACCATTCATTTATCTATCTATGCACACTCTGCACTATAAAATAACCAGATGCATTTTCACTAGAAATCTAGCCCAAATAAAGATAAAGACCCATCAGAGGAAATGTTAAGCAGCAGCTAATACTGCACCAGGCAATGTAGCAGAGGACTAATATGAAGATGGTGGCCTGAAAATCAATAAAGCATGTAGATATAAAGGGAGCACAGAAATACAATAGATGAACTAGGTCTTGCCTGCTGCAGCTTTTTACATATCTTCTCACCCCAGTTCTCAGGAGGAGGGTTCTCAGGAATGAAAACAAAGTCTGCCTCAGAGCTTAAAGCTGCTACTAGAGCCAAATATCTGAAAAATTAATTAGAAAGAGTTACTCAATATCGTATTTAAGTCTTTCTTTACTACTAAGGTAGTGACACACCACAGAAAGAAACAATCATCACTCACTCAATGCTTGCCTTGCCAGAAGAGCACGGATAATTCAAATACTCCTCAAAACCTCGACTCCCCTTCCCTGTATTTCTTTAAACAAAATATTTTGTTTAGATTGCTTAGTTGCATAGCTTTTCAATACAAATTAAATGTAAGCTCATCTCGGTGTCTCTTGTAGCTAGGATTTCTCAGTAGTTAATATCCTTTTAAGAATTCCTATTCATTATTTCTCCCTCCTCTTGACAGGTGTGCTTTTTCACTAATGAATAGCTATGAGCCAAGAAATCTGGGCTACCCTCTCCTTCCTTGGTTCAAACCTGATTACCATCCTTTTCCCAAGTGCTTTAAGGCCATAATGGGTTTAGCACTGCTTATATGCAATAAAAGTTTAACAAGCCTTCCCCTCTTGTGTGTGGTGATCAAGCTGACAGACTAAGGTAAACTATTACCTTTTGATTACACTTTGATCAGAGAGTACAGTACAACTCAGTATTCATGAACTTTGTAATTTGTGAGATTTGATTATACAACTTTTTTCTGAAGAGCATTTCACAAATAGATTCAATATTTGCCTTTCAACTGTTTTTTTATTTTCACTCAGGAGACGACCCCTAAATTGAAAACTAATAATAGGATTTTGTTCAATATATACTCAGTGGTATTCCTCACACTATGAACTTTCTTAATATTCTTTTTTATGAATGCCAGTATTATTGAGAATAGAGTAATATTTTATTTAAATAAATATGGTCCTTGAGGCAGAAAATGAGTCCAAATTTAAAGATAATTTATTATACAGAAAGGATTTTATTTAATTCAAAAAATCAGATTCATGAGACCTCTAGGAACATAACCCTCACGAATCTGTGGGTTCAACTGTATTCCAATTTGGTTTTTATAATATCAGGCTCCAGTTAAGAGTTCTGGGTCAAAGCAGAATTCCGCACCATAAGATTATTATATTTGTGGGAAGTGCCAAACTCATAGTGATCATACAGCACCTGGAGGATGGGAAGTAATGGTTTGGTCCAAGAAAAGAGAGGGTAGCTGTAATTCCTAGGATCAAGAGCCCTTCACCAACATCAATGTACTACCTTGTAAATCTTGATGCAAGCTCCTAAAAAAAAAAATCAACAGTTACAGGTTTTCATTGAGTTTAGCTTCCAGAGTATAAGCTGATCTAATCAAGTGAGGGGAAATATACTTTTCTATTTCACTTCAACTCCAACACTACCTCCAAACCCACAAATAAGTTGGAAACCTGATGACAGTGCTTATCCAAGGCCACTCCTGAGAACATAGTCTACACCATCTTAAGGCACTCATTGAACAATCTTTAACTGAAGAATGATGATGTAAAGAGAGTAGTAAGGGAGAAAAAGTTAGCATATGAGAAGTTTTTACAAAGTAGAAGTGATGCAAGGAGGGAAGAGTATATGGAGAAAAAGAGAGAGGTTAAGAGAGTGGTGAAGCAATGTAAAAAGAGAGCAAATGAGAGAGTGGGTGAGATGTTATCAACAAATTTTGTTGAAAATAAGAAAAAGTTTTGGAGTGAGATTAACAAGTTAAGAAAGCCTAGAGAACAAATTGATTTGTCAGTTAAAAATAGGAGAGGAGAGTTATTAAATGGAGAGTTAGAGGTATTGGGAAGATGGAAGGAATATTTTGAGGAATTGTTAAATGTTGATGAAGATAGGGAAGCTGTGATTTCGTGTATAGGGCAAGGAGGAATAACATCTTGTAGGAGTGAGGAAGAGCAGTTGTGAGTGTGGGGGAAGTTCGTGAGGCAGTAGTAAAATGAAAGGGGGTAAGGCAGCCGGGATTGATGGGATAAAGATAGAAATGTTAAAAGCAGGTGGGGATATAGTTTTGGAGTGGTTGGTGCAATTATTTAATAAATGTATGAAAGAGGGGTAAGGTACCTAGGGATTGGCAGAGAGCATGCATAGTTCCTTTGTATAAAGGCAAGGGGATAAAAGAGAGTGCAAAAATTATAGGGGGATAAGTCTGTTGAGTGTACCTGGTAAAGTGTATGGTAGAGTTATAATTGAAAGAATTAAGAGTAAGACGGAGAATAGGATAGCAGATGACAAGGAGGCTTTAGGAAAGGTAGGGGTGTGTGGACCAGGTGTTTACAGTGAAACATATAAGTGAACAGTATTTAGATAAGGCTAAAGAGGTCTTTGTGGCATTTATGGATTTGGAAAAGGCGATATGACAGGGTGGATAGGGGGGCAATGTGGCAGATGTTGCAAGTGTATGGTGTAGGAGGTAGGTTACTGAAAGCAGTGAAGAGTTTTTACGAGGATAGTGAGGCTCAAGTTAGAGTATGTAGGAAAGAGGGAAATTTTTTCCCAGTAAAAGTAGGCCTTAGACAAGGATGTGTGATGTCACCGTGGTTTTTAATATATTTATAGATGGGGGTTGTAAGAGAAGTAAATGCGAGGGTCTTGGCAAGAGGCGTGGATTAAAAGAAAGAATCACACACAAAGTGGGAGTTGTCACAGCTGCTCTTTGCTGATGACACTGTGCCTTGGGAGATTCTGAAGAGAATTGCAAGATTAGGTGGATGATTTGGTAGGGTGTGCATAAAGAAGAAAATTAAAGGTGAATACAGAAAGAGTAAGGTTATGAGGATTAACAAAAAGATTAGGTGATAAGATTGAATATCAATTGGAGGAGAGAGTATGGAGAGGTGAACGTATTCAGATATTGGGAGTGGACGTGTCGGCGGATGGGTCTATGAAAGATGAGGTTAATCATAGAATTGATGAGGGAAAAAGAGTGAGTGGTGCACTTTAGGAGTCTGTGGAGACAAAGAACTTTCCTTGGAGGCAAAGAGGGAATGTATGAGAGTATAGTTTTACCAACGCTCTTATATGGGTGTGAAGCTGGGTGATGAATGTTGCAAGCGAGGAGAAGGCTTGGAGGCAGTGGAGATGTCATGTCTGAGGGCAATGTGTGGTGTGAATATTGCAGAGAATTAGAGTTTGGAAAGTTAGGAAGGAGGTGCGGGATTACCAAAACTGTTGTCCAGAGGGCTGAGGAGGGTTGTTGAGGTGGTTCTGGTACATGTAGAGAGAATGGAGCGAAATCAGAATGACTCAAGAGTAGTATCATCTGTAGGGAAGGAAGGCGGGGTAGGGTCGGCCTAGGAAAGGGTTGGAGGGAGGGGGTAAAGGAGGTTTTGTGGCGAGGGGCTTGGACTTCCAGCAGCATGCGTGAGCGTGTTGATAGGAGTGAATGGAGACAATGGTTTGTAATACTTGACGTGCTGTTGGAGTGTGAGCAAAGTAACATTTATGAAGGGATTCAGGAAACCGGCAAGGCCGGACTGAGTTCTGGAGATGGGAAGTACAGTGCCTGCACTCTGAAGAGGGGTGTTTAAATGTTGAGAGGTTATTAATACTGTTAGTTGTAAAGCACCCTTCTGCAAGAACAGTTGATGGGAGTGAATGATGGTGAAAGTTTTTCTTTTTGGGCTTTTTGGCCACCCTGCCTTGGTGGAGATCGGCCGTTTTGATAAAAATAAAAAAAATTTTAAACATAGACAGTAGAGCCCTGTTTTATGGTTTTTTGCTTTACAGTTTTCCCGTAAAAAGGGACTTTTAAAATTAGCCCAAAACTCTCATACGCCCCCCCCACCCGACTTTCAATAGGGTCACCCGCCCCACCTGGTTTGTTTAACTCTCCGGAGCTCCATAAGCACTAGTCTCTCCATTTTCTGTAAACCCCAAAAATTTAAAGTTTTTTTTAAAAGTTTTTTCATTTTTTTTATATACTTACTCTGATAATTTACTTAGATACCTGTACTAAATAAACTTAACACACTGTGCTGGCATGCAGGACACATTAAAAAAAAAAGTGTGTTTAGTCTCGAATCCCATTTTATAATGATAATAATACAGGGATCCCCGCAAAGATTTTAAAACCATTCCTGAGAGCTCTTTGTTATCAAATTATCGTTATGCGAAAATTTTCCCCCATAAGAAATAATGGAAATCAAATTAATCCGGCAAGACACCCCAAAGTAAAAAAAAAAAAATTTTACCACATGAAATTTTTAATTTTTAATACACAAAAACAAAAAAGGCATGCAAAATTACATGACACAACCTTTATTAAGATCTGGTATGATTAAAGGGATGGGAGGAGGAGAGAGTTTAGTGTTTAAAGGGGAACCCCCTTTTCCTTTAAACTTGAGGTTCAAGTCCTTTTCTGGGGTTACCCCCCTTCTTCTTTTAACCCCACTAGAAACCAGCTTCAGAGTCACTGGTTTCTCCCGCAAAACAATCTGTCCATAGTGGCCTGTACCTCTCGTTCCTTTAGATTTTCCCTAAAGTTTTTCAAAACATTATCATGTAATAGACCACCCGGGCTTGAAATAGCTGTTGAGGGGATTTCACCCAAAAAGGGTTTTGCATTTTCAGCCACTTTTGCACAATTTCCTTAATCTTTGTAGTAGGAAACTTCATAAATTTCTTCTCCCCCCTTAAACCCAGTTTCCTCAGGTGGGGCCTCTTGCGGGTTTCAGCAGCTATCGTGGTTAGTTTTCATTGTCCTCCCCCCCAACCCTTTTCCACATCATCCCCATAACCCCCAAACCCCAAGGACTTTCCCAAAATGCCACAATGGATCCCCAACTGGGATACTCCCCCCAGGGTTAGCTTGAAACCCTTCAAAAACCCTTTGGGCTCACATTCTGGCCACAGTTTTTTTCCAAGCAGAGTTCAAGGTCCTCTTAGTCACTCCCCCCCAAACCTTACCCATAAGGGTTTTCACAATTGAGGATATTAAAGTGCCCTCCCAAAACTCCTTGGTCTTGAGTTTCTGGTCACTACAAAGCACCTTTCAAACAGAGCTTTTGTGTACAGTTTTTTTTAAGTTTGCAAAACCCGCTGGTCCATGGGCTGCAGGAGAGGGGTGGTATTAGGAGGCAAAAAAATTCACCTTAAAGAAGCTCATGTCCCCATAAAGTCGCTCTGCCACGTTGTAGGATGACCAGGGGCATTGTCTAAACCCGGAGGGATTAAGGGCTAATTTTTTTTTTCATTAGGGAATCTTTCCATTTGGGGGAAATGCATGGTGTAACCAGTCATAGAAAAGTCCCCAGTGACCCATCCTTTACTGTTTGCCCTCCACAGCACACACAAAAAAGCCTTTAGGATATTCTTTTTGCCTGAAAGCTCTGGAGTTTCTGAGTGAACACTAATAAAGGCTTTACTTTGCAATCACCACTAGCATTTGGGAAAACATCAAAAGAGTAAACCCGTCTATCATAGGCTTATGTCCTGGGGGTGCCTTTTCCCCCTGGAAAAGTAGGGGCCTGCTTTGGGATTTTTTTCCAAACAGGCCCGTTTCATCACAATTAAACACTTGTTCAGGTTTCAGTCCTTCACTGTCTATGTACTCCTTGAAACCCGCACATATTTTTAGCTGCTTTGTGGTCCAACTGGAGCCTCACCATGCCTTATCACATTATCTTAAATCTCTCAAACCAACCTTTTCTGGGCCCTTAAATTTACTCACATCATCAATTGCAGGCATTTTTTTAATTAAAACCTGATGCAACTTCCTAGCCTTTTCACTTATATCACTTGAGAGATGCTATCTCCTGCTATCTGTTTTTCATTTTCCATACCAATAAGAGTCTCTCAACATCCCTCATTGCGATCTCGTTTTAAAAAAACAGTTGAACCTTTGGCAAGAACAGCTTCCTTGATTGCCATTTTGTTCCCCCAATATAGCGATGGTTATGGGGTTTATTATACAAACCCGGCCACTCGGAACACGCACTCCTACTTTTCAACTTACAATGACTCTTCTCTCTCTATAGTAATTCTCCCCTTATTTCTGTAGGGTTGGCACTAGAAACTTTCTTGGGGCCCATGGTCACTTATTTTGCAGATAAAATCACCAAAAACACTGTAATAATACGAAATGTTCCGATTGTATGCTTGGATGTTACCGCGGAGGCTGGCTGGTAAACAATGCCACCGGCAGAACATGTGAGGCTGGCTCAGGCCGCACATTAGACGCATCTCGGACGAACAGCGTTGAGCGGGTTTTTTAGCGGTATGCGAGGCAAAATCTTAGCGATAAAATGTATCAGTATGCGGATTTAACGTTATGTAAGGCCAATGGTATGCGGGGGTCCACTGTATTCAATAATAATCACCGAGTCTCATTAAATGTTGTATTTTACATAATATACATATTTTCATTAATCCATTTATGAAATTTTTTCCAAATTATATAATAAACATGATACATAATACATAAAGATGATAAATACACCCCACAGTAGAATAAATAAACACAAATATGAGATGTGGTAGCCAGATGACTTGTATGAGTGATGCCATATTAGTAATGATAATAATAACACTCAATAATAATCACCGAGTCTCTTTAAATGTTGTATATTACGTTAATATACGCATTTTCATTAATCCAGCTATGATACTTTTTCAAAATTACATAATAAACACGATACGTAACATATAAAGATAAATACACCTCACAGTAGAATAAATAAAACAATTATGAGATGTGGTAGCCAGACAACTTCTACAAGTGATGGCAACAATAACATTTTCTCTAGTCCAACCTAAGAGAAAATGTGTTACCGGGCGTAATTGTAGAAAATTATTCCTTTCGTATGCCTTCACTCAGAGCGTCATTTCTTCTAAAAATGGTGTTACATGAGAATGGGAGTGTTCCTCTTCATTTATTCTACCATATCAACAGAGACAACTTGTACACACTAACTTGTACACAAACCAGATGTGTTCGCCTGGTTTGTTTACAAAACTCACGTATGCCTGGTTTGTTTACATAACTCATGAGTGTCCTCTCTCATGTACTCATTCTCTCTCTCTCTCTCTCTCTCTCATTTATTCGTTTTATCTCGTTTACGCACCTCTGACCCTACATTAAGACTGCAAATATTTTAAGGTAAGTAATGAGTGAACTGTATATGCATTTTATTGCTCTTCCATGCTTAAATGTCATAGAATATTATGTGTGGGTGGGTTGGCTTGGTATGGTAGCCTGGCTGGCTACCATACATACCACACTTGATTTCTTACAATAAATACTACTCATCTCACCCTAGATTAAGACTACAAATATTTCAAGGTAAGTAATGAGTACTATATGTGTATTTTACTTTTTTATTATTTTTTTTTAATGCCTAGTTATATTGCTAACTTAATGCGTGTTAGTGTAAACCTGTTATCTAGTAATATTTATATGCATTTACAAGTGAAAAAAAAAAGGGTGTTCCACTTTACAGTGATTTCCGCTTTACGGCGATAGCCTGGACCCTAACCTGCCATATAAGGGGGGGCCCTACTGTACTGTACTATACCTTAAAAGTCACTTAACCATACTGCTCATAAGAGCATTAAGTAATCTTCTCAACATATTTTATATATACACATCATAAAATATCACAGTCATAGGTATCACTTACCCACAGTGTCTACCCATGACTTCCAGGATGAAGCATCGTTGATGAGAGTATGCAGTTGAAGCAATGGCATCCACTGCCTCAATTATCCTATGAAGGGCAGAGTCAGTGCCAATGGTCATGTCAGTTCCACAGAAGTCATTATCAATGGACCCAACCATGCCGACAATATTAAGGTGAGAATACGTTTTCTGCTCTTCTTCTGTAATTTCTCCTGCAGAGATTTAAAAGTGTTGGGATGACTTAACAAATCTAAAATTTCAAGACCTTTATTTTACAAAGTAGAAGTGATGCAAGGAGGGAAGAGTATATGGAGAAAAAGAGAGAGGTTAAGAGAGTGGTGAAGCAATGTAAAAAGAGAGCAAATGAGAGAGTGGGTGAGATGTTATCAACAAATTTTGTTGAAAATAAGAAAAAGTTTTGGAGTGAGATTAACAAGTTAAGGAAGCCTAGAGAACAAATGGATTTGTCAGTTAAAAATAGGAGAGGAGAGTTATTAAATGGAGAGTTAAGAGGTATTGGGAAGATGGAGGGAATATTTTGAAGAATTGTTAAATGTTGATGAAGATAGGGAAGCTGTGATTTCGTGTATAGGGCAAGGAGGAATAACATCTTGTAGGAGTGAGGAAGAGCCAGTTGTGAGTGTGGGGGAAGTTCGTAAGGCAGTAGGTAAAATGAAAGGGGGTAAGGCAGCTGGGATTGATAAATGTATGGAAGAGGGTAAGGTACCTAGGGATTGGCAGAGAGCATGCATAGTTCCTTTGTATAAAGGCAAAGGGGATAAAAGAGAGTGCAAAAATTATAGGGGGATAAGTCTGCGGGAGTATACCTGGTAAAGTGTATGGTAGAGTTATTATTGAAAGAATTAAGAGTAAGACGGAGAATAGGATAGCAGATGAACAAGGAGGCTTTAGGAAAGATAGGGGGTGTGTGGACCAGGTGTTTACAGTGAAACATATAAGTGAACAGTCTTTAGATAAGGCTAAAGAGGTCTTTGTGGCATTTATGGATTGGAAACGCATATGACAGGGTGGGATAGGGGGGCAATGTGGGGCAGATGTATGCAAGTGTATGGTGTAGGAGTAGGTTACTGAACGCAGTGAGAGTTTTTACGAGGTAGTGAGGGCTTCAAGTTAGATTATGTAGGAAAGGGGAAAATTACTTCCAGTAAAGTAGCGCCGTAGACAAGGGGGAAATTTGGGGGTTGGTTTCATGTCACCGTGGTTGTTTTACATATTTATAGATGGGGTTGTAAGAGAAGTAAATGCGAGGGTCTTGGCAGAGTTGTGGTGTCAAAAGTAAAGATCACACATAAAGTGGGAGTTGTCAAGTTGCACTTTGCTGATGGACACTTTGCTCTTTGGAGATTCTGAAGAGAAGTTGCAGAGATTGGTGGATGAATTTGGTAGGTAGGCAAAAGAAGAAAATTTAAAACTGAATAAGGAAAGAGTTAAGGTTATGAGGATAACAAAAAAGATTTAGGTGATGAATGATTGGATATCAGACTGGAGGAGCGGGTATGGAGGAGGTGACTGAATTCAGTATTGGAGAGGACGTGTCAGCGGGATGGGTTTATGAAAGATGAGGTAAATCATAGAATTGATGAGGGGAAAAAGGGGTGATGGTGCACTTCGGAGTCTGAGGAGGACAAAGGAACTTTTGTTCGTGGAGGCAATGAGGGGAATGTATGAGAGTTACTTTTACCAACACTCTTCTATGGGTGTGAAGCATGGGTGCTGACTGTGTGCCAGCGAGGAGAAGGCTGGGGAGGCAGTGGAGATGTCATGTCTGAGGGCAACTGTGGGATGTGAATATATGCAGAGAATTGTAGTTTGGGACGTTCGGAGGCTGTGCGGGCATTACCAAAATGTAGTCAGGCGGGCTGAGGAAGGGTTGTGAGGTGGTTTGGACATGTAGAGAGAATGGAGGCGAAACAGAATGACTTCAAGTGTGTCTCAGTCTGTAGTGGAAGGAAGGCGGGGGTGGGTAGGGTCGGCCAAGGAAAGTGGAGGGAGGGGGTAGGAGGTTTTGTGTGCGAGGGTTTGACTTCAAGCAGGTATGTTGAGCGTGTTTGTAGGAGTGTAATGGAGAAAACCAAAAAAAAAAAGGGTTTTTAATACTGACGTTTGCTGTTGGAGTGTGAGCAAAGTAACATTTATGAAGGGGTACAGGGAAAACTGGCAGGCCGGACTTGAGTCCTGGAGATGGGAAGTACAGTGCCTGCACTCTGAAGGAGGGGTGTTAATGTTGCAGTTTAAAAACTGTAGTGTAAAGCACCCTTCTGGCAAGACAGTGATGGAGTGAATGATGGTGAAAGTTTTTCTTTTTTGGGCCACCCTGCCTTGGTGGGAATCGGCCAGTGTGATAATAAAAAAAAATAAAAAAAAAAATAATTTTTGGGTGTCTGGAACGGATTAATTGGATTTACATTATTTCTTATGGGAAATATTAACAAAAAATACATATTATAGAGAATAACTATAGTTTTACATACAGACGAAAACCAAGGTTCCACTGTACAGTAGTACCCGTAGTTTCGGCCATAATTTGTTCCAGAAGGTTGTTTGAGTGCCGTTACCGAATGAATTTGTTCCCATAAGGAATAATGTAAATTAGATTAGTCTGTTTCAGACCCCAAAAATACACTTACAAAAACACTTACAATAATATACTTACATAATTGTTCGAGTTGGGAGCTGTAAGAAACTCGGGGTACCACTGTATTACCAAACTGCTAAACCCTTTAAAATTCATATAATCTTTACCTTGATATTAATTTAATCTGAATGACTGTGTTAGAATTACTTGATATTAATATTTTGGGAACACCTAATGTTGAACTTTCTGCTATATATGCTTCCAAACTTTTATTTACAACCCTGAGACACACATTAGACCCTGGGGCACCACTATATATGATCCACTCTGCTATCAACTAAAAAACAGGCAAAAAATAATTTCACCTTTAAGTGCCTTGTATTCTGCTGCTGACGAGTAAATATTACAGATCAAAATATATTATTAGCTTCCTATATTTCGTTCTTTGGCTGCTTTAACCATTTGGGGGTCTGTCCTGTAATTCCACGGCTTTGAAGCCTGGGTTCGAGCTGTAGCTCCACACCATGAGCTCAGCTCACTCAGATAAGCTGTGAGCGGTAAATTTGGGCCTAGATATGAGAGAATGGATCTATGTGGTAAGTGTACACCATATAAAACAAATCCTGCATCACACAGTGCATAATGAGAAAAAAAAACTGAAATCTTGTTTTTGGATTAAAACAGCGACTTTGCAGTGTATTTTTGTATGTTTTTTTAAGGTTGTAATCACAGTCTCTTGGTCTCATTTGATATAATGGAAGATATATTACAGAAATAGAGATAATTTTGATTGGATTTAGTACTGAAAATAGCTTGAAATTGAGCTCAAAGTAGCAGAAATTTTAGATTTTTGCCAACGTTCAAGAGTAAACAAATGACGTTAAATGTCCAATACACGTCAACTGGTGGGTCTAATGTATGTTCACAAATGTGTTGATATTTATACAATTATTACAATATTGCATAATAGTAAATCTATTTTTTGGTGTGAATAAAAATTCTTTTTGTGAATAAAACATCAAAATGTAAAGCCTAGAAACATAACTAATAAACAGAGGAAATGTTATTTTAGTGTCAGAAATGCCTGCATGGTTTATTCTGGACCCTATTTTGAAACTGGAATATTTTGAACTTTGTGTGAAACTGGCCAAATTACCAACCTCTGATCACTTTATTAGGAAGTTAAAATAATTGACTGGGCAGCTTCTTGTGCTCAATTGATAAAATAGAAGGGATACTAGTGAAATAAGTAAGAATTTGGTTGACTGGAATAATGTAATTGGCATAACATAGGAGTCGAAGTGGGCAAAATCGCTGTTGCATAAATATAGCTGATGCAGTAAAATTTGCGATAGCGTAATTTCGTCAATTTTCCATCAAATTTCATACTTCTTGTTTTATTACCTTCAGAAAAAAATTCTCGACCATTTCATAAGAAAAAATAATTTTTTTGTTTTTGAAAAATTTTGGACCCTGTGGACAAGGTGTAGAACTACAGCTTGGACCCTCAAAGGGTTAAGCCCTCTTGTCTTCTCTTTTATGCCAGATTACTGTAGCCAAGTTTTGGTAACATAATATTACAAAGCAATCAGCTCTGTTACCAATAGTAAAATATAGGTGCATGTATATACAACAGACTTCAAAATTATGTGTATGTCATCATGTAGTTGCTATTTTCCTGGTATGTAACTTAACCCTTAACCCTTTGAGGGTTTTGGTCGTACTAGTACGTCTTACGCGTAGGGGTTTTTGACGTACTAGTACGCATAAATTCTAGCGGCCTCAAATCTAGTGGGAGAAAGCTGGTAGGCCTTCATATGAAAGAATGGGTCTATGTGGTCAGTGTGCACAGTCTAAAAAAAATCCTGCAGCACACAGTGCATAATGAGAAAAAAAAAACTTTGACCATTTTTTTGGAATAAATCAGCGACTTTGCAGTGTATTTTCGTATGGTATTTATTGTTGTATTCTAGTTTTCTTGGTCTCATTTTATAGAATGGAAGACTATTTACAGAAATTGAGATGATTTTGACTGGTTTTACAATGAAAGGTGCCTTGAAATTGAGCTCAAAGTAGCAGAAATGTTTGATTTTTACCAAACTTCAAAAGTAAACAAATCGTGCCAAGCGTGCAATACACGTCAACTGGTGAGGTCTAATATTCTTTCACAAGTGCACCAATAATATTTATACCATTTTTTACACTAATGCAGTAGTCTGCATAACAGTAAATCTTATATTTTTTGTGAGAATAAAAATTCAAAGTGGAAAGCAAAAGAATATAAGAGGGGCCTTGAGACGTGACTAATGACTAGAGGAAATGTCATTTTAGTGCCAGGAATGTCTTTCTTGTTTATTCTGGACCCTATTCGGAAATTGGCATCTTTTGAAATTTGTGTGAAATTGGCAAAATTGCTAAATTCTGACCACTGTACTGGATAGTTGAATTTCATAAATGGGTGGTTTCTTGCACCCGTTCGATAGAAAAAAATGGAGTTCTAGCGAAATATTCATGTTTTTTGTCAACTAGTACAGTGAAATTGGCCGAAAATGGGGCTCAAAGTGGGCAAAATCGCCGATGCGTAAACATCGCTGAGACCGCTAACTTTGCGAGAGCATAATTCCGTAAGTTTTCTATCAAATTTCAAACTTTTGGTGTCTTTATGATCGGGAAAAGATTCTCTATCTTTTCATAAGAGAAAATAATTTTTTTTTTTTTTAAATTTGGCCGACTCTGAGAACGAGTTTCGGAGAGGGCCTGTCGACCCTCAAAGGGTTAAACTGTCCAAGTAGATCTGTTTTTTTTACATATTTTCAAATATAACAAAAAAAAAAAAAAATAGATCAAAGTTTTTTTTACACTTTTTCAAAGGTAAATAAAGAAAAGATCTATTTTTTTTACGTACTTTCAAATACTGAAAAAACGTAGATCTACGTTTGGACAGTTTAAGGGTTAATGACTCACAAGCAAAGGACCCAGGTTCAATCCTGGACACACTGGGGATGCTTCCTTGCACTATGTGCCCTTCTTCACCTAGCATTAAATAGGTACCCAGGAGGGCCCTATTAAGGAGAAGACTGACAAAAAATTTTTAAGTACAATTTTTCAAAAGTAAAATATTAATGACTTACGACATCATAATAACATGATTACTAACAAATTATGGAATGGGTGAGGCTTGAACCCATGGTATGCAAGTCCTAAAACTCACAGGCCAGCGCATTAACCACTGGGCCAGCTGGCTATAACAAAATTCATCCAGCTAGGTTAGCAAGGGCCCCACTGTGACCACACTGGTGTGGGATTCGTCTGTAAAAACCTGCATTTGTGGTTATAATGGTAGCCCATGCTAACCTCCCCATGTTGTACAGAAATATACCTAGTTGGATGAATCTTATTAGAGCCAGCTGGCCAAGTGGTTAACGCACTGGCCTGTGAGCTTTAGGACTCTCTTGCCATGGGTTCAAGCCCCACCCGTTCCCTAAATTGCAAAATGTAAGTATTTTATTAGAATAAAAATTTAGAATTTGCACAAATTTTTATTACTATGAATTCTAGTGTCCTCGGTAGGATACGGCCAGTTTGTTGAAAGAAAGAAAGAAGAATACAAGTATGTAGTGTAAGCTCATAAGCCCATAACAGCCTCAGCTTCAGGCCCTGCAGGTCTTTAATCCAGTCCTGGTATTTGTATGTTAGCACACTGTTGTGAGGAGCTGGAAATATACAGTGGACCCCCGGTTTACGATATTATTTCATTCCAGAAGTATGTTCAGGTGCCAGTACTGACCGAATTTGTTCCCATAAGGAATATTGTGAATTAGGTTAGTCCATTTCAGACCCCCAAACATACACATACAAACGCACTTGCATAAATACACTTACATAATTGGTCACATTGGGAGCTGATCGTAAACTGGGGGTCCACTGTACTTTAGTCAGAATAGCTACTTATTATATACAATACCTTGTGGATAATTCCTGATACAGATGACCAGTTAGCTTCAACAATATTGTCACCACCATCGACCATGCCCTGATAACCCTCTTTGATGAAAAATACATTAGCTCCTACATACAATCCCATACGCACAACTGCGCGGACAGCGCCATTCATGCCCTGTAACAGAAACAAAGTTCATAGTTATAACCACCAGCTTTATTTATCTACCAAAGAAACTGGTTTAAGAAAAAAGAAAGTGTATATAGGATAGGCACAGACTAGAGAGAGTAAACAGCATCAGAATAAAAATGGAGGAATAAAAGTTTAGAAAAGGCAAATGTGACAAAGGCCACCTTGGGATAGCCAAACGAAGAAATGAAAAAGGTTACACAGCCTAGTATCTGATGTGAAGGCAGCTTTAGGAGTGTAAGTGAATGGCTGAAAGGAAAGAGCTTCTAATCACTGTAGGAAATATCCTAACCCACAAACTCTAAAACAGATTCAAGAGCTGAAAATTATTTATGAGTTGAAAATGAGTAGAAGTAAATGCCATGATAAGGAATGGGTGAGAAACTTGTAGTGTTATGATGCAGGTATGGGTGAGAAATTTGGAGAGTGAATTGTGGAAGTAAAATAACAACAAACCACCTGTTTATATTTGTGAAAAATAATAAAATACATACATATAAAGAATAAATATTGATAAAAACCATTGAGTCAGGCAAGGAAATGCAAAAAATAATAAAAATTACCAATGTACCATACATCTGTTTTATTCCATACCAGCCCATCTCTCACTAAGGTAGGGTGACGAAAAAGCATGGAAAACAACAGGTAAAGAATTTTGACTTTATGGTGTGAACAATTTAAATCTACTCTGTTGCAACAAGTAGAATAAGTATGAATATTGATGGATCATGATTAAACCAAAGGGGCAGGCCAAGATGATATATTGTGTAGAATTTAAAAGTTGAGTGCTCAAAAACATAGTTACCCACTCTGCCTATCTGCCAAATTTTGATGAATGGGGGCAAGCAGACATGTGAATGGAAAAAAAAAAAAGCAAATACTATACTGATATATGAAAATTATAGTGAAGTATATCCCTAATTACAACTCATTCTATCTACTAAGTACAGTAGGCAAAATATGAGATTCTGAAAAGATGAACTTTATAGAGGAAGAGAAACTTTAACTAACAAACAATTTGACTTTATACATACAAGACAAACAATATACAACCTTAATTATGTTCTGCTCACACAGGAACATTTTCTAATTTATAACTTAATAAGGCTCCTGCCTGAGTGAAACATAGTTAACTTATGAAGATTCCACATTGTTCTGTGTCTTGTATGTCCATTGTGAGAGTAATGGTACTTTGTACCTTTTACTCTCACCAATTTGACTATGTCAATGGGCGCATTTGTATCTAACTTCCTTTGTTATTATAGCCATAAATATTTACATGGAGGAACAACATGAAAGGGGAGATTTCAAATAACTGTATTTTTAATGAAGATTTAGTAGGAGTTCCTCATAAACTATTTCTAAATAACAAGCAACATGAATGCAGATTCAAAGGGTGAAATAAAGAAGAGCGTGAAACAAACAAAAAAAATGCAGCGATGAGTAAAAATAAATCCCCATAGATGAGAGTTACTCACAGGGTACCAAAGAATCAGTGCTTTCTCTAAGTAATATACAGTAAAGGAATTTTCCAAAAGAATAAAAAAATACATGTAACAGAAGGTCAATTAGTGTGTGCCTTATGGTGTATAATGTAATTTAGCACCATGAAATTTGAAAAACATATGGGAAAAATAAGGTTATGTTCCATACATCTCCAGAAAATAGCCATTTTCTTTTCTTTCTTTCAACACACCGGCCGTATCCCACCGAGGCGGGGTGCCCAAAAGGAAAAATGAAAGTTTCTCCTTTTACAATTAGTAATATATACAGGAGAAGGGGTTACTAGCCTCTTGCTCCTGGCATTTTAGTCGCCTCTTACAACATGCATGGCTTACGGAGGAAGAATTCTGTTCCACTTCCCCATGGAGGTAAGAGGAAATAAACAAGAACAAGAACTAGAAAGAAAATAGAAGAAAACCCAGAGGGGTGTGTGTATATATATGCTTGTACATGTATGTGTAGTGTGACCTAAGTGCAAGTAGAAGTAGCAAGACATACCTGAAATCTTGCATGTTTATGAGACAGACAAAAGGCACCAGCAATCCTACCATCATGTAAAACAATTACAGGCTTTCGTTTCACACTCACTTGGCAGGACGGTAGTACCCCCCTGGGTATTACACATCCCTGTCTAAGACCCACATTTACCGGGAAGTAGTCTCCCTCTCTTCTACACACCCTAACCTGAGCATCACTATCCTCATAAAAACTCTTTACAGCATTTAGTAACCTACTGTTTTATTCCATTTAGTACTTGCAACATCTGCCACATTACTTCCCTATCCACTCCATCATATGCCTTTTCTAAATCAATAAATGAAATATAAACTTCCCTACCTTTATCTAAATACTGTTCACATATATGAAGAGAAGTGGTGAGAGAGTGCAAAAGGAGAGCAGATGATAGAGTGGGAGAGGCACTGTCAAGAAATTTTTAGGAAAATAAGAAAAAATTTTCCTAGGTAGTAGGTTGGTAGACAGCAACCGCCCAGGGAGGTACTACCGTCCTGCCAAGTGAGTGTAAAATGAAAGCCTGTAATTGTTTTACATGATGGTAGGATTGCTGGTCCTAGGTAGTAGATTGGTAGACAGCAACCGCCCAGGGAGGTACTACCGTCCTGCCAAGTGAGTGTAAAATGAAAGCCTGTTATTGTTTTACATGATGGTAGGATTGCTGGTGTCTTTTTATTGTCTCATACACATGCAAGATTTCAGGTACGTCTTGCTACTTCTACTTACACTTAGGTCACACTACACATACATGTACAAGCATATATATACACACCCCTCTGGGTTTTCTTCTATTTTCTTTCTAATTCTTGTTCTTGTTTATTTCTTCTTACCTCCACGGGGAAGTGGAACAGAATTCTTCCTCCGTAAGCCATGCGTGTTGAAAGAGGCGACTAAAATGCCAGGAGCAAGGGGCTAGTAACCCCTTCTCCTGTATATATTACTAAATGTAAAAGGAGAAACTTTCATTTTTTCTTTTGGGCCACCCCGCCTCGGTGGGATACGGCCGGTGTGTTGAAAGAAAGAAAGGATTGCTGGTGTCCTGTTTTCTGTCTCATGAACATGCAAGATTTCAGGTATGTCTTGCTACTTCTACTTACACTTAGGATACACACCCCTCTGGGTTTTCTTAAACAGTGGAACCTCAAAAATCAAACTGCTCCCAACACAGCCAATTATGTAAGTGTATTTTTGTAAGTGCTTTTAAAAGTGTATTTTTGAGGGTCTGAAATGGACTAATCTAATTTACATTATTCCTGATGGGAATAAATTCATTCGGTAAAGGCACTCGAACAGCCTTCTGGACCGAAGAAAGTTCAATATTTGAGGTTCCACTGTATTTTCTTTCTAGTTCTTATTCTTGTTTATTTCCTCTTATCTCCATGGGGAAGTGGAACAGAATTCTTCCTCCGTAAGCCATGCGTGTTGTAAGAGGCGACTAAAATGCCGGGAGCAAGGGGCTAGTAACCACTTCTCCTGTATATATTACTAATTGTAAAAGAAGAAACTTTCGTTTTTCCTTTTGGGCCACCCCGCCTCAGTGGGATACGGCCGGTGTGTTGAAAGAAAGAAGAAAAAATTTTGGAGTTAAACAAGTTAAGAAAGCCTAGAGAACAAATGGATTTGTCAGTTAAAAACAGAGTAGGGGAGTTAGTAGATGGGGAGATGGAGGTTTTGGGTAGATGATGAGAATATTTTGAGGAACTTTTAAATGTCGACAAAGAAAGGGAAGTGGTAATTTCATGCACTGAACAGGGAGGCATATTCTCCCTCTTCTACACACCCTAACCTGAGCCTCACTGTCCTCATAAAAACTCTCAACAGCATTTAGTAACTTACCACCTATTCCATATACTTGCAACATCTGCCACATTGCTCTTCTATCCACTCTATCATATGCCTTTTCTAAATCCATAAATGCAATAAAAACTTCCCTACCTTTATCTAAATACTGTTCACATATATGCTTCAATGTAAACACTTGATCTACACATCCCCTACCCACTCTGAAACCTCCCTGCTCATCCGCAATCCTACATTCTGTCTTACCTCTTAATTCTTTCAATAATATTTATTATTATTTTATTATTATCACACCGGCCGATTCCCACCAAGGCAGGGTGGCCCGAAAAAGAAAAACTTTCACCATCATTCACTCCATCACTGTCTTGCCAGAAGGGTGCTTTACACTACAGTTTTTAAACTGCAACATTAACACCCCTCCTTCAGAGTGCAGGCACTGTACTTCCCATCTCCAGGACTCAAGTCCGGCCTGCCGGTTTCCCTGAATCCCTTCATAAATGTTACTTTGCTCACACTCCAACAGCACGTCAAGTATTAAAAACCATTTGTCTCCATTCACTCCTATCAAACACGCTCACTCGCATGCCTGCTGGAAGTCCAAGCCCCTCGCACACAAAACCTCCTTTACCCCTCCCTCCAACCCTTCCTAGGCCGACCCCTACCCCGCCTTCCTTCCACTACAGACTGATACACTCTTGAAGTCATTCTGTTTCGCTCCATTCTCTCTACATGTCCGAACCACCTCAACAACCCTTCCTCAGCCCTCTGGACAACAGTTTTGGTAATCCCGCACCTCCTCCTAACTTTCCCAAACTACGAATTCTCTGCATTATATTCACACCACACATTGCCCTCAGACATGACATCTCCACTGCCTCCAGCCTTCTCCTCGCTGCAACATTCATCACCCACGCTTCACAAACCCCTATAAGAGCGTTGGTAAAACTATACTCTCATACATTCCCTCTTTGCCTCCAAGGACAAGTTCTTTGTCTCCACAGACTCCTAAGTGCACCACTCACTCTTTTTCCCTCATCAATTCTATGATTCACCTCATCTTTCATAGACCCATCCGCTGACACGTCCACTCCCAAATATCTGAATACGTTCACATCCTCCATACTCTCTCCCTCCAATCTGATATTCAATCTTTCATCACCTAATCTTTTTGT